GATGTAATAGTTCATGCGGCTGCCACTGTCAACTTGGTTTATCCCTACGCTGCATTGCAGAAACCCAACGTTGGTGGTACAAGAGAGGTCCTTCGTCTTGCTGCTCAAGGTGGTGCCACCGTGCAGTATATTTCTACTAACGGAGTGCTTCTTCCTGCCAAAGGTCGTGAAGGGTGGTCAGAAGACGCCATGCTTGATGTTGATGAAGTAACCAAACTCGCCGATGGTTACGGTCAGACAAAGTGGGTGGCCGAACAGCTTGCTCTGGAGGCTGGTCGAAGAGGTCTTCCCATCAAAATCCACCGTCTTGGAACCATCAGTGGCCACAGCGAGACAGGTGCTGCTAACGCATGGGATCTGTTGACCGCCATGATTGTTGAGTCAGTCAGAATCGGCCACTATCCTGATGTCAAGGGCTGGCGTGCGGAGATGACCCCAGTCGACTTCGTCAGCAAGGCCATAATGCACCTCAGCAACCAAACCGAGACTGATCAAACTATTTTCCACATTGGAGACCCCGATCCAGTCGATGTCAGCAAAGTCTTCCAAGATCTCAACGCGCTAGGTTACCCAACTCAGCCGATGGAATTTGAGAAGTGGACCAGTCTTTGGGATGACAAGCGTGGTTCTGCCAAGGGTGGTGATGGTGCCTTCACGGTCGATATCCTGCGAAGCGGTATGCCTAGCATCGAGTTTCTCAGGGATGTCGTCGTACTCGATAATGCGAAGACCAGACCGCTACGACTTGCAGTAGAGCGCCCGAAGGTGGACCAAGTACTTCTTGAGACTTACACACGGCACTGGTATGCACGAGGATGGCTACCAAAGCCTCCTACGCAGCAGGACGCAGCAGGAGGTTCTGCTAAGCTTCCCCGAAGAGGTCCTCTCTTCGGTAAGGTTGCCGTAGTCATGGGTGCATCATCTGGTATTGGCGCTGCCACCGCCACCGCTCTTGCCCGAGAGGGCTGCCATGTCGCCCTTGCAGCTCGTCGCATCGACGCCCTAGAAGATCTGAAGAAGCGACTCGTCATCCGCGAAGGCAAGGTCATTACACAGAAGACCGATGTTACCCACAAATCTCAGGTCGAAGCCCTCGTTGCTGCAGCAGAGAGCCAACTTGGACCTGTCGATATCTTCGTGAATGTTTCAGGAGTGATGTACTTCACCATGATGGCCAACACATACACAGACCAGTGGAACCAAACCGTCGACGTCAACTGCAAAGGTCTCCTCAACGTCATCTCGTCCATCGTGCCTTCGATGCTCAAGCGCGGAAAGGGCCACCTCCTTGCCATCTCCTCGGATGCTGGACGGAAGGTCTTCCCTGGCCTAGGCGTCTACTCCGCATCTAAGTTCTTTGTCGAAGCTACACTACAAAGCTTAAGGCTCGAGACTGCTGGCACTGGACTGAGAGTCACTGCCGTGCAGCCAGGAAACGTAGCAACTGATCTCTTGGGTATGAGCACAGACCAAGAGGCATTGAAGAAGTTTGGAGAGCCAAGCGGAGCAAAGGTTCTCGATCCAGAGAATGTTGCGGAATGCATTGTGTATGCACTCAAGCAGCCGGAGCATGTTTCCGTGAACGAGGTGCTGATCGAGCCAAGAGACGAGCCCATCTAGATACCACTGGTGTGTAAGAAAATTTAGATATACACATCGTCACGATCCACGATCAAGCCGTGTCTTGTCCGGCATTACTCAAGACGAAGATTTCTAATACCGTTACAAGTAATCTCATCTACATGGACGGGCTAAGTACGAAAGTCACCATGCTTCTTCCCGGCACCTGCGCGCTAACACTAGTCCCATCCGCTGTCAGCGTCGCCACTATTTCGTCGCAATCATGCCCATTGTCTGTGATCCATGCCTTGGCCGCAAACGCGACAAAGCCATTCACTTTGACTGTTACCGTACCTGTTGCTGTCCCTCCTTGTATAACTTGCACCGCTAAGCTTTCGTCCACATTCCTGAAAGCGCTAACTCGACTTCCACTCGGACCGCCGCTCGCGCCTATCCTCACCGCGCCTGGTCGCACATGCCTACTCCAATTCGCAAATGCCCAAAGACGCTTACTAGGTATTACTGACTTCTTATCATCGGAGATGCGAATGAGCTTGCTGTTTGTTGCTCCGCCTTGGACGCCGATCCAGTATAAGTATGCTGAGGCGTTGGCAGTTGTAAGAGCAGCATGAATTTTGTTCGCCCAATTCAGTCCTTCGCCTGCGCCGTTGTTACTGTAGAACACTGTTGCCCAAGGGCCTTGAAGGTCCGCGTTCTCTGTTTGCCAGACATTGTGCGGGGTATTTATTGGGCTGTTAGGTTGAGATGTGTAGGAACTGGATCGCTGTTAGTGCATGGAATTGACACCTGCAGAGAGAAGAAGTGGCTTACTGCGCAGTGATCGTACCTAACATACTACTCACGCCATTCAGAGCACCCATCATACCCTGCTGACTACTCCATCCTTCAGCATCGCAGCAAGTAATCTTGACACTCGTAAGATTTGCTTTATCGAGCGTCGGCCTGAGCACTTTGATGAAGTCTGCGGCCTGTTGTCCGTTGCTTCTCATGCTGGCATAACTTGTCGTAAGATCAGGTTCGTTCAGGAATCCCAGATGCGTGATGTTTACACCGGTATCCTTATAGTAAACGATGTACTGTGCCAGGTAGTTTGCGTACGCTTGTCTCCAGTCTCCACTCGAACAACTAGCTGCAGATACCCCACAAAGTGACCCTCCATATGCATCGTTGTTGTTCGTTTTCATATAGCCTGGTGCTGACCATGCGTTTGCATACACAGTATCCACACCATACGTCTTGACTGCCTCCGTACTGACCCAAACTTGGCTGTTATCATTACCATCCCATACATATTTCGGCACTGCGTTTGGACCACCAGGGTTCTTGGGTTGAATGGAAACCATGTGGTCGCTACTAGAGTCCGGAGATGAACCGATACCATTACGAAGGATAGAAAAGCCGGCGCCTGAAGTACGGTTAAAGAGCAGATCTAGGGCATAACGCTGAAGTGAGGGCGAGAGGGCATGCATTTGGTTTGCGCGTTGGAAGGTCTCGGATATACCGAAGCCATCTATGGTCTGGTAGATTTTGGCTGGGTCGACGGTTACGGTTGAAGATTGGCGGGGGTGAAGAGTTGAAAATGTACTCGCGAAAGTCGCGAGCGCAAGGACGATGTAGATGGAAAATGCCATAATGAAAGTCTAATGAGTTGACTTGCTTGCACTGCATCTTGCGGTCTGCAGGTGCGCTTGATATGTTGTTAGTTGTTATGAGAAATGGTAGCCAAGCTTTTCTATATGCATGCTCTCTTTTTAACCTTTACCCATATGAAAGAAGCAGTCGTAGGGAAGCTACTGAAATCTCACCCCACAGACTTTACATTTGGTGGTGGGGTGGTCACCTACTTAGTGTTCCCTGCCATTAAGACCAATTCTAGTGAAAACGTCATTGCTAGTGGTGGAATATCTTGTGAGTATCTCCACAAAGCAATATAATTATAATTCAGGTATTGCTAAACGTAGGAAAAGATATGCGGGTCGCGATGTAGACCAGATGGGTGAGCAGAGCATAGAAAAGTATGGTAGTAAAGGTCGGATTATGACAGACAACAGATGCATCGAGCCATCCATATGTTTTAATTTGATTGCGTTTGTTACCTCGTTAACCTCGCATGCCTTGGATGTTGTGATAATGATGATGTTAAGTAGATGGCTTCTATTCGTGGTTGAGGCTGTCGCATCAATGGCGGTCGCGCTAGTTTCTTGGCAGTCGTCAATCCAGCAATTCGCGGAAGAGCGACTGTCCTCATAGCAACAATCACTCACCATGGCCAACCCAATAAAAATAGACGAAGCGGCGCATGCGTCTGAAGCCCCTTCAAAGATCGACGACGAGATCATCACCGTGTCTGCACCACCGAAAATCGACGAAGCGGAAGCCTCAACCACCATGAGCGCGACCGAAACACCTGCACCGGATGCGACTTCCAACCAGGAAGTCGCTGCGCCAGAAGATAACTCCCTCGCCACAACGACAAACCCCGACCCGAAGGCCGCCCTTGCCGCACGAATGGCCCGCTTCAAAGCGCTCCAAGCCGCCAAAGTAAACGGCCGTAAAGCGACAGAGCGCGAGGTCCGCGATGCTGAAGATCGTAGCTCTCGCCTTGCGCAAATCTCCAAACTCGGCGCACTCAACGAGAAAGCCTCTTACAAACTCTTGAAATCAGAAGACCCTGATTTCGAGCGTAAAAGGAATTGGGACTACACGGTTGAAGAGAGCGAAAGTTGGGACAAAAGACTTAAGAAGAAAGCGAAGAACAGGGATGGTGTCGCATTTGCAGACTACAGGAACGAGGCGAATAAGGTGTACAAAAGACAGATTGGTCAGATGAGCAAAGTAGATATGGAAGCGTACGCAGAGGAGAAAGCAAAGAAACTGCAATCGCAAGTATCTTCCGGCCTTCTCCAACTCGTTGAGACGGACGCAGGCGAGATTTACACAGTCGATAACCAAGGGCGCATCAACACACCAGTCGACGAAGCGTATAGCCACGATCACAAACCATCCAAAGAAGCTGTCGATAGGCTAGTAGAAGACTTGGAGAAGGGCGAGCGTGCAAGGTTGAAGGCCAGGGCCGCAAGGGGCATACGCGACGAACAGGATGTCGGCGATGTCACGTACATCAACCAGAAGAACAAGCAATTCAACGACAAGCTCTCGCGCTTCTACAACAAATACACAAGCGAGATACGGGACAGCTTCGAGCGCGGAACAGCGATTTAAGGAGGCGAGAAAACGATACTATTGTACTATACCCTGGCATATTGCTCTAAAGGGCCGGCGTTGTCCAAGCGAAAAGACATTGGGAATCTGGCGTTATACTTATTGCATTACGGTACGAAGTTTCATCCCAGGCATGACATCAGACATAGTTTCCAGTCGAAAATATACTCATATTCTTGGATATCATGCGCCTCGCTTTACATCATACTACTCAATACCCTGTTCACATCCTGGCCTGGCTCGGGCTTTTTCATCGCCTTGCTCGTAGTCGTGTGTTGCGAGAACTCTAACCTTCCCTTCCTCCTCTTTGGCTTCCCATCTGCTTCCTGCACTGCTTCTGCTGCCTCCACCGCCGCATTATTACCGTCAACATCATCCCCTCTCTTCCGCCTTGTAGCCTCAATTCCACTGGCAACCTTGCCTCTCTCCACGTTCTCCAAGAATGCCTTGTTCTCTTTCTTGCCCTGCGCTATCTCGAACCTGAGTCTTGCCGCACGCTCTGCGTTCTCATTCTGGATCTGCTCGACCAGATTGTGCCACTTAACTCCACTCAAGTATCGGATATTCCACACTTCATCATGCCACCTGCCCCTCTTCTTACCCCCCATTGTCTGTGCATTCAAGTTCTCGGCGACGAATTTGGCATCGCGCTTGTGTATGAATTCTACCCAGCCATCAAGGAAAAGTTTGCGACGCGTGCCTCCGTTGCGCAGGCGCTGAGTACGGGAGGTACTGGTTTCTGGAGTCAGGAAAATGCGGCCCACAGCGCCATACGGTGTCAAAAGCGAGCGCATTACGGCTGGTTTCATGAAGGGTGGGACGCGCGAGAGGTATATCACGCCGGACTTGTCTTTCTTGAGTGACGATGGTGGTAAAGCTTTTCCAAGCTTTGTGGATTGTAGCTTCAGTTCAGAGGGAAGAGATGCAGCAAGTTTCTCGAGATGTGCTAGTTCGGCGTTCTTAGAAGGAAAACGCTTCGCCGCGTGTTGCTCGTTGTCGTCCTCGTCGTCTTCGTCTTCGTCTTCGTCTTCGCCGGAACCTTGGTCCTCTTCTCCATCCACTTCTTCGTCTTGTTCTTCGTCCTCAGAGTCGTGGTCTATTTTTTGTCGCTTTGATGCCGGGAGCATGCGCGCTCTGCTCTCTTCTTCGGAATCGTAGCCCCTCTCCTCATCCTCACTCTCCTCGACGTCAAGGTACTCGTTTCGTTTGCGTGTCGCCATTGCTGTGTCGTACGAATTTCTGTGCAAATGAAGCGTATTGGATGGTATGGAATGCGCACAGCGTTGTTGCAGCAGAGCAAAGTCTGTCGCAATGTGGATGCTTGGGCGATATGCAGGCGCACTTGTTCACTCGAAACTTTTGCGGAGAAGTCGCGGAGGTTGCAGTAACTTTTGGGTGGGACCCGGCTTAGCGCCTTGGCGGCCTGTGGCGCATTATCCAGCCCAGCCTTCCTTCCTTTACTTGCTCACACCCACATCACATCCACATCGCATTCACCATCCGCAAACATGGGAGGTGACCTCAACCTGAAGAAATCCTGGCATCCGCACTTGCGCAAGAATCAAGAGAGGGTATGGAAAGAGGAGAAGTCTGCGCTCGAGGAGCGCAAATTGATCGAGAAACTTCGCAAGGAACGCGAAGAAGAAGCACAAATCGAGGAGCTTCAACGACTGCAAGCTGAGAATGGCGGCAAAGTCGTGCAGCGACGGGTAGACTGGATGTACGCGGGCCCAAGTGGTGATGCAGGCGTTACCGAGGAGCGCGAGGGCTACCTACTGGGCAAGCGCAGGATCGACAATCTGTTGAAAGACAACGACACACAGAGTCTACAGAAAGGCGCTGCCGTCGGAATCGATGCCGCCGCTGCCGATCCCAACGCGAATAACGCTCGCGACACGCAAAAGAAAGTCCTGCAGGATCCGCTTCTCATGATACAAAAGCAGAAGATGGAGATGCAATTGAAGGCTATGAAAGACGCGCAGAAAGAGGCCAAATATGCTGAGAAGCGCGAGAAAGAGAAAGAGCGAGAAAGAAAGCACAAACATCGGGATAAGGAGCGGAGTAGAGAGCGAGAGCACAAACACAGCCGGCGTCATCGATCACGCTCGCCGCGCAGGAGGGAGGATCGCGACGATCGTCGCAATCGTGACAGCCACCGTAGACGCTCAAGATCTCGCTCACGATCACCCTACCGCAAGTACGGCAGCCGGCGAGATCGTTCTCGATCACCGCGCAGGAGAGAGGATCGTGGCGACATTCGCGACCGCCATACATACCGACGACGGGATCGCACGCCGCCTAGAAAACAACCCGACGACGGTGAAGCCCATCAGAGCGCGGCCGATCGTCTCGCCGCTATGCAAGCAGAGGCGACATCGCTCGAGGAGCAGCGGGCCGAGCGTGTTCGACAACAGGAAATCAAGGATAGAGAGGAGGAGGAAAAACAGAAAATACAAAAGGACGGTGGACGTCGCTTCATCTCGAACATGCGCGGGCAAGCTTCCAACATGGATCTAGGCGATGCGATCGCTCGTGGGCGCCAGAATCTAAGGGCAGAGGTTGACGCTTGAGGTTTGAAGGTCTGATCTATCGCGCTTGTAGTTAACGAACAGTAAATTGATACCCTGGCCTGGCCTGACCTGACGAAGCTGGCTTTACTCTCGTTGCGTAAGTGCTGGGAATTCCTTAACGACGTGACCGCTAACCATTATGTTTTCGATCGTCTGGTACCCTTATAAGCAAATCTATATCAGAGCTCGACTAGGCTTCTCGAAAACATGTTGATTCCTTTTACAAAGATACATACACAAGGCTCATATTCTTAAATGCCTCCAGAGTAGGGTCACTAGCCTTTCTGACAAGTTATAGTCCTTCAATGGGAGACCCTGTACTGAGGCTTGCGCCAAGCCCATGTCGCATTATCTCTAGTAGCTGTCTTCAGAGAAGCCCGCGCAAAATACTCTTTCGGTTTTCTTGCGTGTCCCCACGATAGTTTCTAACCGCCTTCCTCGAACGATTGTATGGCAGGCGATTATCGACCACCATTCCAGCCCGCGGTCGGCGCAAAGAGATCCTCCATGCTATCGCCATCGCTTTTACCTGTCTTCGAACCCGAAACACTGTATGATCTTGTTACGGCGATCCGGCGATCCAATCTGTTGTCGACATGCTTGGTCGCATCTGCATCTGCGCTTCGGAGTTCATAGCTCTTCTCTCCGCTTCGCTTCACAAACATCTTCAGTTTGCGAATTCTGGATCCGTCTCCGCTCCCGCTTCCGCTCGAGAGGGAAAGTATCCAGGGCATATACTTCTGTATGAAAGGCTTCAAGAGCGCGATACAAGCGCAAATGACTCCGCCGTTGAGCTCGACTGTAGAGAAAATACACGCTTTGGCCACGTTGTAAGTCGAGTCAGGGTCACTGATCATACTGTAGACGTATATAATGCGGACAGTGGATATGACAACCACTCTGCAGAGGCTGTCAGCACGCGACGCGAAACGGCACACCAACTGGGAATACTTACCCAGATCCCAGAGCGAATACCAAACCCAGTAATACCTTTTGTTTGATGGGCAACTGCAACGCGCGCAACATAGGTATCGGCAGACAGAGGATCAAGAAGTCTGTGATAATGTTTATACATGCCATGAACAGGTTGAGATCCGTAAGACACTTTTGGTCGGTGTGCGTTCGCGGATTACATGGTCCGGCGGCGACGATGGTGATAGCCAATGAGTATCCGGTGACTAGGACTGCTAATGCGTAGATGGATGCTTGGACTTTCCGGTCCGGATTGAGACGGTAGTAGAGTGCTAACAATGAAAGTTTGGCAAGAGCTGGTGTCCAAACATACACCACCATGATGCCGACAAGCATCTTCGTGTAGCCCATCAGTTGCTCCATAGTCACATTCCAGAGGTGTTGACCGAACCCATACTGGAAAGCTATACTTGAAGTCAGTCGTGTACAGAGTGACTAGCGGCATACGCACATTGGAAACATACGACCATCCATCCTATGCAGCCGCACCAACTGAGGACTACCAGCGCATCGTCCAGCCCTGTCATATGGCGAATGAAGATGCGAGTATACAGTCGTAGTCCAAGCACGATGGTGGAAAGTATCGTCATCACGACATACACCACAATAATCCTACTTTGAAGACCGGTTCGGTCACCACTGAAGTCTGTCTCAGCACCAGGGGGTGCAGGCAAGACGCCCGACTCGGTCGTACTCGAAGTCATCATAGATGGGGAATGCCGTGGGCTTGCAGGAAGAGACAGGACTTTGAAAGGAGGGCGGGATCGCTAGGACCTCGTGCTTACTCCCGGACTCGCAGCGAACTTATCTTCGGAGCAGTTTGAGTTACCATGCTAGCTCGACACGAGGGTACACAGATGATCTTTCCCGTACAACCTTGCTCCTTCAACAGTGGAACCGTAATACGCAGGCGCATGCTCTGGCCGGACAAGGTTCTTGGACATGCGCTCTCCTATCTAAATGCCAGACAAGATCCTCATAAAACCACAGAAAGAGGAACTACGTCCTTTTTGCCATGCTTATACCCGTTGTCTCAATCCGCTCTAACCGCTTGGAGGCCTTGCCATCGCTTCGTCTGGCGGACTCTTACATTCCTGTCCCAGAAAGGGTAAGCGTCGCATGCAGCAGCAACGCTGATTCACGTACCGAAGTTACACAATATGGCACTCCCGCATCCAATAAGGTGGTGCTCGGAGAATTGAGGCTACACTACATTTCTCTCAAAGAACTAGACAGCTTTGGGCTAATAGAAAACTCCACGATATCGACAGGTTGGAACACTAACCAGAGATGAGTTTGTACCGAGGCACTAGTCGGCTATGTGCGATAGTGTGTGACGGAACCCAGCAATAAAATGCTGACCCCTGCATGCTAATCAGCACGCGGCAAGATTCCTGTTGCGGAGTACCAACTGAAATGGCAATCTGCAGTTTGCAGGACAAACGGGAACCGTGCATGTCCCACTCCATGAACTGGGTCCGTCGATCGGGTCCTCGCACCAGTTCTCTACGTGTGACTGTCGGCTTCCGGGCAAACACGACGCGCCTGCAAATCTTCCACGTTTTGTACTCCCGATAAATACCACCCATTGCAATTGCAACGATAGAATACTAGCACCCGCCATATTTGATTCAAGGATACGTTTCGAGCGGAGAAAACATCTAAATCGGCTAACAGCGCAGAACTATCTGTCGGCCGCCACTGCCTAGACAGCTGATCACTACTGAGTCCTAGGACACTCGGATGGAATCATAGTTTCATACACAGGAAACCATGGAATCGGTTCCCACCACTGTCTTTGTGTTCGCACCATTGTCGGCGGTCATCCTGCACGAATTTGTCCTGCGACGAGTGGAAGTCGACCATTTGACCCTTCAGATCCTTGGACTAGCGATTACCGTGTACTGGGTTCTCTTCTATCACATTGGATTCGTCGCCGCGACACTGGTGACGAGTTTCTTCTGGGTTCCACTGTGGCTGTACATCGGAGCGTACCGTGCCTTTTTTCATCCACTCAACGTCTATCCGGGACCTTGGGCCGCGAAGCTATCGCGATGGTGGACTGTCAAACAGACATATGACAGTGGCCTGCATTATCATCGGGTTCTGCAGCGGTTGCAGAGTCGGTATGGCGACTATGTTAGGACAGGTCTGTCCAACCTATGTACTTCCTTCCAGATCCAGTACTAACACCGTCAGGGCCACGTGAGCTCACTATTTTTGATGCAGCTGCGATTCAACCAATTCTGGGAGCACAATCAAGTACATCGAAGGGTCCTTTCTTTGACGTCATGGAGAAGTCTCTACATCTCAATCGCGACAAGGCATTTCACCGCCAGCGTCGCAAGGTCTGGGACAACGCGATGAAAATATCGCTTTCGGACTATGCGCCGCAGGTCGAAAGCTTCACAGATCAGCTGCTTGCACGATTGAGAAGCGAGGAAGGAAGATCCATTCCACTGTTTGAGTACGCGACATACTACAGCTACGACGTCATGGCAGCACTGGCTTTTGGCAAACCAATGGGCTTCATCAAAGGCGAGCAAAGTGATGTCGCTGCCAGTATTCTTGCTACTTTCATGAATAGCGTCCAGGCGCTAGGATACATGTATCACATGCCATGGCTGATGAACGCGATTGGTGTACTTACCTCGTTCGCAGGACCCATGAAGGAGTGGCGAGACTGGAGCGTCAGTCAGATGAAAGCACGCATGCAGGTGACGTCTCTCCCTTTGCGATTCCAACAGGAACCAATGCTGACAGCTTCATCTAGGTCCGAGACGCCAAACCCGACCTAATCTCACACCTCATAAACTCCACCCCCAAAACACCAGAAGGTCGCGAACTCCTCTACGGCGAATCGCGTCTCATCATTTCCGCCGGCAGCGAAACGACTTCCTCAGCCTTGACCTTCCTCTTCATGCACCTCGCTACACATCCCCATTATATAGCCGCTGTCCGCGCTGAATTTCTCGCGAACATCGACAATTATGACTGCCAGCGCCCCATGCCAATGCTAGAAGCTGTGATTCAGGAGTCAATGCGCATGTGGCCTTCAGTCTTCTTCGGCTCACAACGCGTTACACCCCCACAAGGCATGGAGGTGAATGGGCGCTTCATCCCAGGGAACATGGTTGTGCATATACCTCTATTTCCCCTATTTCACGATGCAAGGAACTTCGTTGCACCTGATCAGTTCATCCCTGAGCGATGGATGACGAAGCCTGAATTGGTACTCAATAGACAAGCGTTCATACCGTTTTCGACTGGCTCGTATAGCTGTGCAGGGAAGGCGCTGTCTTTGATGGAACTGAGGAGTGTGATCGGAAGGGTGGTCGCGGAGTTTGATATTGTCCTGGATGAAGGAACGGATGCAAACGCTTACTGGGAGGGTATTCTGGACCACTTCACTGCAGGAGCACCGCCGATGACGGTCAGGTTTCTCAGGGCGCGATAAAGACTTGTTGGGAGAAGAGTAGACATCGACTGTCTTCTCTACTCCATACTTTCGAAATCAGTCTGTCAGAACGCCTCTATAGCCTTGTTTAAGTGTTTAGCCCTGAACGTCGGGTTCGACTTCGCATTGTTTGTATTCTTTCTGTATTTTCTCCATGAGTTGCAGATATCGAGGAAAAACGTGGACACTGAGCGGGCAAAGTCAGGAGACGCACTGTGGACCATTGCTACACCTGGGACAAACGATCGAGCAGGGAAATTCCGTGCATCATAAGAAAAGACCACTCGAACGTGGGATAACGGGTTTGATGGAAGAATGGCTGACGCTACCAAGGATGTTGGAGGATATGTTGGGTGGGGAGGAGGAAATAGTTACAGGCCAGATAGCATAGACACTATGACAGGCGCGGTGGAACTCTCGGATCTCTCCGCTATCGGGGAATAAGAGCTCCCGTGGCGATCGCTTCTTGGCTCAAAAAGTGTTTATGGTAATCCAAGTTCGAACGGGTTGCTCCGAGAAGCCATGTCTAGCATTAAAAGACTGTACTCAGGATGATGTTGCTGGATTCGATACCTGATCGAATCCACGAACCTAACAAAGTAATACAATATAAGATACAAACAGCAGAAGAACCATGCCTAGTCCCTTCTACCCAGTAATCAAATAACTGCATATCCCACACAGGCTCAAAAGTCTAGAAGACTTTTGCCAGGAGCTACCACCGCAGTGTTCGGAACCGGTAGATCTTTGACCGGCTCAGCCTTTGGTACAATGAATCCATACTCAGCTTCCCAGTCATCTTCGTAATCGCTCTCATCCTCAGAATCCCAATCACTGTCTTCGCTATCGTCTTCGTAGTCGCGTTCACTCCACCCATCGCTGTCGTCATCTGTTCCCTCCTCTTCTTCGTCCGCCCAATCCGCGTCGTCCTGGTCATCGCCATCGTTCTCGAAGTCGCGAGTTGTAGCGATGACACCGGTAACGTTCGGAATTTCGAGAAATTTGGCCATGTTCAAGCCTTCTAGGTTCCCGTTGAGTTGTTCTGTCCCCGTAGTATATTTGCGGTGTGTGCTTTCCTCTTCTCCTTCCTCTTTGCGCTTGAGATCGAGTTGCACAACGCACTCCTCGTCCCAGGCGTTTGTGTTATCAAAGCGCACCACTCGTATCGTATCCCATAGCGGCAACGGCTTGTGCGTAAGACAGTGTACGACATGAGCAGCATATGCTGATATGCTGTAATGTACATGTATTGCCTCTAAGCTAGTCAACGCCCTTAACATGTCTGCGATGTATTCATATTGGTATTTCGAAGGCGATTTGTCAATCTCTTCTTCAGCTGAGTTTGGGTTTAACATTCCAATCTTTTCCTCGACCGAGCTCTCTTTTAGTCTTAGGTATTTGACGTTCGACGCGTAGATAGGGTTCGTCGTTACGGTGCGTAGGAACAGATCCCAGCGCGCGCATGTATCTGTGAGACTGATGTTGGTCGCGATGTATCTCGAGGAAATGCGATTGAGTGAGTGTGCGGTCAAGGAGAGGCTGATGATAGGACGGTACAGGGTCGGGCATTGGCCGTGTTCATCGTCGTTGATAGTGGGTCGGTCAGGCGCGAGGTAGACACATATTAGGTGTAGAATGGGGTCCGGGAGAGACGACAAGGTGAGAATAGACATGCTTGCGACAGGAGATGAGAGTTTCAAACGTGCTCGCGATGAATTCGCAGGGCGAAGAAGTAGAGAACGAGAAATTTTCGAAGTGGCGGGAGACGTTTGTGGTGATATATGGTAGGGAAGACGCGTCTCGATGATGTAGACGCGCCGAACGACGCTAAGTCAGACATGGTATGACGCGTGCACCCGAACACGAAATGTCGCGATAGCCTTCAGGGACTGCAGAACACGCTGAAAGCGGCTACACTGCGTGCCGATATATTGTTTGTGGGTTATCTGGCAACCCAGCCCCATTGTCTTATCCGTAACATGATGACCCAAACGCCACGCTATGCATATAAAAAAGACCAGCGCTATAACATCACTCATAACTTAACTTTCTTCGCCGGCTTTTGCTCAGATGTCGCATCGTCCTTCTTCCGCTTAAATATGCTCTGGCTCTTCATTTGACCCAGTCCAGCCTTGTTCGCAGGCGCAGCCTTAGCTTTCAAGCCGAAGCTTAGCTTAACAGGCGCTGCATCCGCCTTGGGTTTTTCGGCATCTTCCTTCTCATCTCCAGGCTTCTGTTCGTCGAGTGGGGAGTCGGCCTTGTTCTCCTCTGTCGGCGACGCTCCTTCTGCTGGCGGGGTGACCTGTTGTTGAACAGCCGCTTGAGCCGCTGCTCGTTTGGCCTCGATAGCTTTCTTGGCTTCGGCTTCTTCCTGTGCACGCTTTGCCATCTTCTTCAACATCTTGTCTTCGCCAGCACCGCTTCGAGCCTCAGCAGCCTCTTGCTCCGCAATCTCATTCCGCCTGTTTACAGCTGCAACAGAAGTATCTCTCCAAGCAATCATCAATCCGTCTTTCTCGTCTTCCTTGACATGGCAGATACCCTCCCGGCCAAGGTGTTTGGCAAACTCGGTCAGTGAACTCCATTTCGTAGCGTTCATGTGGACGTGTTCCTTGTCTCGGATGTACCTAAAGCCAGTCAGCGTGTGTTCTGTCGCATGAGCTGAGAATTCTTACTCGTTGTAGAATTTGTTTACTCCAATCCATTTCTCGTTGTGCGCAGTTCGCAAGAGATTCACAAAGTCCCTTTGGAAGTCGTTGCTGAAGCCCTGGATGTACTTCTTAGGGTCCTCGCCAACGATTTGGAGGTTCCGGACATGGCTCTCGCTCTGAACGTGACATTTGAACCCGTTTGCGTCGCGACATTGCTTCTGGCAAGGCTCACACCACCAGCGCAACCGCTGCAAGCCCTTTGACTTCATCTTGTTGGCGACCCATTTTGTGCTGCCTGCTTCGGCCTTTCCCATTGTTGTGGTTGTGGTAGCGTTGATAGATCTTCGATACTGAAGCGGATACGGTTATGAATTCCGGTCGTGTATATGGTTACGGGGTTCGTGTGGAGGCTGTATAGCGAACGGCACAAAAGGTTGTGTCTTTGAGAAGTGAAGACTACGGCTGGACCTGCGAAACTCATCAGTCTGGCTGACTAAAGAGATCGCCACCCGCGAGCGCGCCAACGCTAAAGCGCGGCTCGTTGTGCACGTGCCATTCCATCTACTCGGACCCTTCACGCGTCATTCTTCCTAGCCATCACAAACGACTAGAGCTTGGTACACAGGAGATAGCGGGAACACGATGGAGTTGTTATATAGGCCATTCATGTTCGGAATCTAACACTAGTATACACCAGACGAGCTGCTCCTTATTGCCCAGTTCTTGCACACGTATCTACGAAATCGACTGCTCAACATGCGTGGTACGCACTACAATCCAACTATCAGCAATCATTTGCTTCTACACTACGCGCCAAACTTACTAATGACACGATCGTCGCCGCCAAAGCCCTTTGGTCGGTACTTAGACTTTGTTTCGCAATATTGGTGTAGCTCTAGGTGCTCTTCCGAGACACTCGACCCGAGGTTCGACACACTCGCATTGGTATCCAAATACTTCTCCAGATGATAAAACTTCGAACGTTGCTTTAAAGGCACAGGCGTCCGCTTGCTATTCTCATAACTTTCGGGTGTGGACGATGGGCGAAGGTGATTCTTCACGCGGGGAACGTACGGACAGCACCCCACGATAATGACGATGGCAAGTTCAGCCATACTGAGTTGTGTTAAGCCCGCGTCTCTTCAAAGGAGTATGACAATCGACTTACCAGATCAAACCCGCTTGGGTCAGTAGCCAGGAGAAGTCAGACTGCTGCAGCAGGATGACTCGATAGTACAGTCCTACACAACCAATCGCGACAGCACTAATATACATCAGCAAAGTCTTTGCATGTCGTTTGAATGGCAGCTGCAAAACCTACATTGCACCCACGCCGAAAATCGCCAAGACCGCGATCTTCCGTTGCAGCTTCATACTCAGCTTCCATATCGCCCAAACTGGTACCACAAATGCTTCCACGTCACTGATAACATTCAGAGTTCCCATAGCCATGTTTAGTTTGTTCGAATCGATACATTTCCCTTCGATACTTGGTTTCCATATTTTCTCCCTCGGCCAGCATGTAAAGACGTACAGGAAAAACATGGCAGTATAGAACAGCGCATTAGCAATCAACGAGCCAACAATCACCCAGAAAACGACACCCCGAAACCTCGTGGTAAAGATTTTCTTAAGCTGCAAGAAGACGACAGTCTTCGCGAGTCCGCTCGTGGCCGTGTAACAAACGAACACGATATTGCAGATATAGGATATCTCCGTGAAGGTCACCATGGAGATATCCCACATGTGTCGAGCCATACCGACGGTTTCAGCATGCACGATAGCTGCGGTGTAGGCGATACAGCCAACGTATGAGATGTAGGAGAGGTAGTCCTCAATGCAGCATGCTTTCATTACGTATGCATTGACGTAGGCGCGCGCCAGTATAAAAGGTAGAGTGAAGAGATGGATAATCGTGGTACCGACAATCACGGCCGGCATGAGCGTCGGAGGGTTCACGAAGTTGGTCGTTAGGCCGGGCGGCGGAGGAAGGATCGGAGTCTGGGTGGGATCTGTTGAAGCCATTGTGCTCCTCGGACGACTGGTCTTCCAGTGGCGGGCCAGGACCGAAAGATATCGTGGGTTGTGCTTGAAGAGTGATTAGCAAAATATCACAGAAAGAGAAGGCTTGCATTACTTCGCGCCTGTCTATGATCCCACATATCACAATTTCGCTACGTTTGATCCTGCGGCTCAGTTGCATCGTCCCGTGTAGATTGAGGCTGCGGAAGACGAAGGGGACGAGGCGATCCCTTCCGTGCAGAGCCGCCCCTCCCTCATCCTTCGCGGCTTATTCTTGACTACCTCCAACGATTCCACCATAAGTGCTGGGAATAGGAGGCCTGTTCACGGTTCGGCATCCTATTCCCGTATCCGCTGGATATGCGACGTGCGTTCCCTACTAGCGAAGTTGGTCTGCGCCGCAATCGTGCATCGGCATCGGCATCCCTTTCCGGAAGGTAGTTGCAACGTGCCGCATATTGTGGGTACGGCAGATGATATTATGGATACCGAAAATAATTGTACAATGAATGCTATACTCCTCAAGCAACCATTCGTAATTGGAACATATTCCCTTTATCGGTTCCCAGGACAATGGCTGACCAACCAGACTACGATGCGATAACTTGGCCTGTCCAACTCACAAGCAAAGTCCATCGTAAAAACAACCCGTTACTGAATCCTAGCAACCCTGCTCTCTCAGCTGCAGGCAAGACAGTCCTCATCACTGGGGCCACAGGTGGCATTGGTCGGGCGATTGCTGAAGCATGGAGAACTGCCGGTGCTAAGGCCATCGTCATAACCGGAAGGAACCAAAAGAAGCTACAAGAGGTTGTTGAGGCATTGGAAGCCACAGTCCAAGATGATACAAGCGTACATTCATTCGGGCCCATCGATATCACAAAGGAAGAAGATGTTGCAACGTTGTGGAAGAAAGCAGGAGAAGCAGTTGGCCGAATCGATGTCCTCGTCAATAACGCCGGATCCTTGACGCAAGCTATGATCGGCAAGGGTGATCCGGGAAAATGGTGGCAGGATTTTGTAGGATCCCTCTCTTTCCATATGCCCCTTTATGGTTACTGACACCTACCTAGGAAGTCAACGTCAAAGCCGTACATCTGAATGTGCACCATTTCCTTGCCCAAGCACCGGACGGCAAGGGCACAGTAATTTCTGTCTCGACAGGAACGTTAGGCGACATGTATCCCGACTTCTCCTCCTACATCCCCAGTAAACTCGCGCAAACCAAGTTCATGGAGTTCCTTCATCATGAACAGCCTGGCATTCGCACATTTAGCCTTTTCCCCGGCCTCGTTGCAACAGACATGCCGCCAAAGCAGTATCTAGAGTATGCCCTTGACGATCCCATGCTAACAGGAGGCTTAACACTTTTCCTATCTACCGAGAGAGCAGAGTGGTTGCGAGGCAGCATGGTGAGTGTGAATTGGGACTACGAGGAGATGGAGATGCATAAGGAAGAGATTTTGGAAAAGAGGTTGACGAAGTTAGCTTTTTGTGATGCGAAGTTTGGGAAAGGCGGTCATCCTTGGGCGACGTGACGAGAATGCACGCATGTCTGCTCTCACATCACTATCCGTCGATACTATGACTGCGTACCTAAGTAACATCAGATTTGGTACCGCGCAATTTCACTCGGAACGAATTCCGAGATGTCTTATATGTTCTCATGCTATGTCAGACGCACCCTCTTCTCCAATATGGCTTCCCAGTCCTTTTTCGCAAATGGCAGATACCGATCACTTCCAGGAGGAAGCCAGTACAGTTTATCCTCACCTGTAATCTTTTCCGGATCTACACCTTCCTTCTTCAACCTGCCCTTTTGAATCTTCAAAGTACCTGTATATTCCAATGCAGGTGTTACTCTTAAGAAGAGTGGTACAGCATAGCTCGGTAAGACCGCTTTAGCATGCCTCGCCAATGCTGAGAAGTCAAATGTCGCTTCAGTAACGCCGTCTGCCATGACAATGGAAGCAGCTCCCGCGCGGCCGTCATAACCAGGTACAAGCACGCCGTACGCGTTAGTTTCAGCAATCTGTGGGAATTTGCCAATCATGTCGGCTACTTCGTTCGTGGACACGTTCTCAGACTTCCAACGGAAAGTATCACCAAGGCGGTCGACGAAGAAGACGCGGCCGTCAGCATCCTGTCGCATCATATCGCCAGACTTGAACCACCTGTTATCGTTAGCCTGTCGCACATCAGTCTCCTAACAACAGAGACTTACATATCACCCTTCTCGAACACATCAGTGATCCTCCGACCCTGCGTCGCACCCTCGTTGTTGTAATAACCCGGTGCACTGGCCACCGTCTCAGGTGTCAGCCTATGCAAGACCTGACCTGGTTCATTAACTCCACATCGAATCGCAAAGCCTCTTGCATCTCTCATAATACCCTCGGTGTCAACGTCCATCTTCACTCTCACTTCCTGGTCCCTAAACTTCCAATTCCAGATCAGACCTCGGAGACCAATGCTGTTAGCTGTGAAAGGACCCGCATTGCGGTTGAAGGTCGACCCCAGTCCATCCGTAGCCGCATATAGTTCGTTGATGATGGGTATGTTGAACCGCTCACGGAAGGGCTCCCATACATCTGGGCGCATACCGTTGCCCCAGGCCATTTGCACCTTATGTTTCCGCTCGTATGGGTTCGTTGGGCCATTGAGCAAGTAACGGCAGAGCTCGCCGACGTACTGTATGATGGTCGCATCTGAAGCTGCTACTTCGGGCCAGAAGGTCTTGTGCGAAAATTTCCGGCCTAGTACGATTGTGCTGCCAGCATGGACGATCGGTGTCACGCAGAGTCCGTGTGCAGCGCCATGGTAAAGTGGCATGCATGTGTACATTCTGGCTTCTGGTTGGAGACCCAAGTATTTTGCGACACCATAACCGGTCAAGAGCTCGCGACCAGTGCTCAAAATCACGGCCTTGGGCAATCCAGTAGTTCCAGAAGTATACATGAGCGAGCGAATAGACTCCATGGTAAGTTGTTCACGACGTGAGTCTGGTATAGGTGTCGAGTTCGATAGAGATGCAAAGAAGGATGTATCGAAATATTCAATCTTTATGCCTGTTTCCTCGAGGTCGGCACGGCATGGTTCGACATTGCTCTTGACATCGGCGTCTGTGATGAGAAACCTGGAATTGCAAATCTGTTGCAATGATCAGCCCAATACCATGGGTAGTATATCATCAAACTCACTTTCACGCAATGCACCAACCCCGTTCCAGTCAAATTCCAATTGACGAAGCTTGGAACGGCCCCAATCGCGTCCAGAGCAAACCAAAGCATCAGATACTCTGGGGTATTCCCCCCATCCATAGCAACCACCTCATCTACCTGTATGCCGAGGTCATCTATCAACCAATTCCCCACTCTTGTAAAAGCCTCGAAGAACTGTTTGTACGACCATGCCTTGCCTTCGAAGATGAGGAAGGGATGGTTGGGCTGTTTGCGAACCTGGTCTTCGAAGACATGGTAGGTAAGAACGCGTTTTCGGATGGCGCGATCGGTAATGAAATCTACAACATCTTGTGATTGTGAAAGTCCACCGCGAGCATTCCTGAGGTCATGAGCAATGTGGTGTTTTGCGTTCAGGTAGGCTGCGACTGCTGCTGTGCCAGCCGCTCCAGCAATTATGGGTACTTTGATGTCTCAGCATTTCCAAAGCATCGCGACAGGGCAGGGGAAAAGACTTACATGCCATTGTGCTTTTCGCTTCCTAGATATTCTATTTCAGACGATTAATTGAGAGACACGATGTCTGATCCATCTACATAACCCCAGTCTCCCGGAGTCAGTGGAGCTACTACACGAAGAAAATTAGAGAAACCCATGGTTAAAGGCGCGATTCGTTCGACAATAAGACCGAGGTTGTCATTGTTGTGGAGTCCTGATTCAGGGTACCTAATAGACATCAAATGCGGGGAAGTTATTTCCGATATATCCGCCATGATCAACGAAGACCCGAGCTTAACCACTACTGCTTCTACAACTCCGTCTAGAGAAGCACAATCGAGCGTGGCTCGGGATAATCTGATGTTTCCGGATACCAGTGCCTCGAATCCTGGGCGAATATCAGTGTTTCCATTCTTGATAGTTTCATCGCAGTCAAGGTTTCTACTTACGGCCTTCGCATCATTGAGATCTACTGTTTGAATTACTACCAGTCCGATCCTTACGTATTCGCTGCGCTCTTCATTCGTGCAGATAATCGCTATTCCGAAGGCTGGCGCAATCACCAGAACATCGCAGCGCTCGTAAGTGTCGACATCGAACAGAACACGCGCAGGATGCGCCTTCCGATCGCGCATTTGAACACTGCACGAGAAGTAGGTGTGCTGTTCCGAATTTTGTGATGTCTGAGCAAGAGCCACTACTGCACCAGTGATTCGGGCGAAGCCAGTCGTCAACTCGCCGAGAGGATTCAGGCCTTTGGGTGTGACACTGCACTCTTCGAGAGTTGCGCAAAACTCTCGTAACGACGCATTCATGTTAGAACTGAGAGCTCCCAGGCTGTAATCTACCGGACCATCTCCAGACATGAATGACCAAGAAGGAGCTATCCAGTTTTCAGGCCGCTTAAAAGGTGCAATATCATGCTTGGGTATCCACAAAAGCAACTTGAGGAAATTGCGCTTCCAGAGTCCAGCGTAACTCGTGTCATCAGTCATGCGCCGTAGAACAGTCATGACACCTGAGATGGCTGGGAACTTGTCTTTGGAGTAGGTAATTCCTCTCGAGGTGTAGTCCCGAACCAGCTGAAACCAGGCATCTTGTCCAAACGATACACCTGGTGGTAGACCTATGCAGGTTACCACGGCATTGAGAGTGTACAGGTGTGTCCATTGTTTGTTTTGCTCTTCATGTTCAATGCCGTTAGGGCACCGCCAGAGCATGTTGTCGCTTCCGAAATGTATAGAACGCTTTGGCAGTAGTTGCTCTTGTAGGACCCAGGCTCGTTGGTACAGTGGATCTCTCACTGTCTAGGTCGCGTCAGACTATTCATGGATGCTCTTTACGCAGTCTTACATTGTTTCGCGTCTGTTGAGCAACGAGATACAGCTCCAGATCGGCCTCGTCGTCGCAAATCTCGATACGTTTGGTCAATGGCATCTTCCGTGGTCCTAGGAAACCCGCTCCACAGTGCGAAGCATTCGACGCGGCAATGTTTATGTATGAGTTTGAATAGATATCAGCCATGACAGCTGACTCTTTCTCCCAGTCTGCCGCATCATCTTGTACTATAAGTAAGGACATGAAGGTCAGTTTATAGATCAAGATCGGAGGCTTGAACTCATACCAATGGCAAGACAGTCAATCCAGAGATACCGAAGACCAAGATACCGCGCTATCATGGCGGCATCCTGAAGAGTTTTGGGGAGATCCCGAAAGTTGATGCCACTCTTTCTCGATGACAAAGTATCCTTGGTAGTCATGAACGGCAGACCGCTACCCCAACAGTAGCTGAGCGTGGCATACTTTCCTAGCTGTCCTGTGGTGGTTTCAACTAGTTTACATTCGCTCGGAAGAAACAGATCCTCCCATTCATGTACATGCTCGATCATGACATCTGCGCTGGGCATGGCGCACAGGTCCAGGACCCTCGTAGGTAATTCTACATCTTTCTGAAGATCAGAGCATTTTGTATGTCCAGTATTGCAATCGTGATACCAATAATTCAGCTGTTTCAACGGTACCGGGTCGAGTAGCTTCTCTAGTTTTACGCTTTGAAAAAGGTTCGGAGATGGGGTGTCTGGATTTCATAAGCTTGTCATATCGAGGTCAGGTGAGATCTCACGCTACATACCAAATCTACTCCGAAACTCCACAGCAGTCACCCCTACTGGACTTCTTAGATGAAGATTTTGCTGCTCGAGATGTAATTCGAGCTTCTGATTGTAATAGCCTTCGGATCCAGGTAGAAGAAGCCACACAGGAGTAACTTCCAGATCCATCTCTTGTGAAAGTCGCTTGTACGTTGGCCTATTTTCCAACCCATGAATAAGCATGCTGCATAACACACAGTTGACGGCATTTTCCCTCAACTGCGGTAGTGTGGTCTGACGTCTGTTGCATGTCCAAATATGGCTGTCGCATCCCCATGGCTGACCATTTTTATCGACCCAGGAATCCTTTTTCCATCCTGGATTATACTCACCGCGCTGAAGAGCACGGAAGGGAATTGATATGCAGCTTTGGCAAAGAGACATGGTAGATATCTGAGTAGTGATCAAGTAAGCGGTAGTTGCGAATTGTTGAAGTGAGGTGTGCTGAGTGGGGTGTACCCGCTTCTCACAGCCTGCAGGTGCTCTAGGCCTCCCACGCGTTAGTTTCTCCATACTCAACCCAACCAACTTTCTATTTTGATAGGTATACAATCTCTAGTGCTGCCGTACAATGCTTTGAGTCTTCACTCAATGGTATATTTCCTAGCTAGGTTGATGTAGCTACCAAATCTGTTCAACATTAGCTTTATTCGGAATAGGCAATACCTGGCATATGACCACGCGGGTAGCAGTTTTCTGAGGTGGCTTTTCTCCTTCTGATATCTTCTAGAAGTCTGTCTCATTTACCATACATATGTCTTTTCGATAGACTCAAGTCGAATTGAACACATCGCTCATTTCCAAATTCTATTTGTTATCGAAATTCCTACCCAGTGTAGAAATCTCGGCAAAAGAGGCTATCGCGGACCATATCCAATACCTCCACATTCAGTCATGATATCGAACCATCCGGAGTTGCCACCAACACAAGTGGTACGCATATAAGCCCACCCTCTAGGTCTCGACTTCTCTTCCAACTCCGGATCTAACTCAACGGCACGCTTGTAAGCCGCCGTCTGGCCGGTACTATCGACCGGATTGACGTACTCGGGGACGTCGCCAAAGTCCTTCTTCTGGAATCGCTGGTGCCAGGTAATATCTACCGTGCTGCCGGAAACAGAGGAGAATGGCATATTCCCAACGTAGTGGATTTGGATGCCGAGACCGTACATGACGGCTGGGAACCACTTTAGGCGGTCAAAAGAAGCCATAGCGGATGCGCTGAGAATAGGGACGACGAGCTTGGAGCGGGATGCGGTGTTTTCCTTGCTCCTGCCCTGGTCTTTATCAGCTAAGGGAGAAGTGAGCTTTGTCAGCGCGATCAATGTGTTGAGTTCTGGGATACCGCCATAGGTATACTGCGGGTGGCGCGTGAGCGACCAAAGACGCCGGCCGGGAGGTTGAGCCAGCCCCTTCTCGAATGCGTCAGCTTCCTTTATGTACTGGTGCATACGGCGAAGGAGACCGGGTGATGTACTCTCTTTGCGCATCTCGATGCTGAACCGGACGTGGCGGATCATGTCAAAGCGACCCAAATAAACTAGGCGGTCAAAATAAGTCGTAGTGTCCGGACCGACCTCAAAAGTGTTGACAGAGTAGAAGATGGGGAGGGCCTCGGCACGGGTCTCCTTGTTGACACGAGTGATACCGAGAAGATCGCTGGTTGCAAAATGATCAAACTGGTTGTCATCGTGAAACTGAATAGTGTCATCAGCAGGGTAGTCGCACAGATGCGGTTTGATGGGTCGACCCGTATGAAGCGCGAAGGCGTAGATGGATCGACGTAGCTCTAGGGTGAGATCCATGAATCTGTGGAACTTGGACACTTCACATTCAGACGTACGAGGTTTACACGTCCGTTTTGGAGCTTTAGACACCATCTTTGGGGTATGAACTTCGTGTTCCTCAGTTTCTTGAGTGAGAGTATCAGCCTCAGGACTGGGTGTAAAAGCTGAGGAAAAGCCAGCTGTGGAGGCTGTGTTGACGTAGTGCTGATAGCTAGGAGGCTCGTAGCCGTTGTCCGATACCTGTGGGAGGGCAACGCCGTATAAGTAGTTGCTGGAGGATAACTGTGCGCAAGGACGGGAGAGGTTCATATGCGTTCGACCAGAAGAGTCATTGCCAATTTCACCATCTGCAACTAATGAAGGGCCATTCTCTTCCATGATCCTTCGAGGGTCCGTAGCTTGGTTCGCAGTCTCGAAAGCGTGTACAGAATCCATAGAATTCGGACCATAGAACGTCGGCCGACCAGGAATAACTCTTGACGAACTATTTGTATTGGTATGTTCTTTGTCGAAGAAGACTTTGCCGCAGCTGTCACAAGAAAGCTGTGATTGAGTCCTCTCCTCTGTCTCATCGGAGGTTGCGTTGCACTCGTAGCAGTACCTGGTTCCGTCAGGTAAGCTCACGGGGCTAGAACGTGGCCAGTAGTCTGTTGGCAGAAGTAACTGCGGGTCTTTCACAGATACGGCACAAGATATGTTACCCAAAGTTTCCAGCTTCCTATCAAAAGAAGCGAATGGGTCGTCTATGTTAGTGTGTAACTGTGGTTGCGACAGGCCTCCTTTTTGGCCTTGGTTTGCATGCCAATAGGGCATTGGCTTCAAAAGCTCCACATGCGCTTCGTCAGCGAAAACTCTGTCGGTCTTTTCCGCGTCTGATAGCTGCTGAGCTTGACTGGTACGTTGCTGTGTATATGTTTTAGCCTTTTTGGAAAGAGGGGATTCCGAAATGAAAGACCCACCATGCGAACACGCCTCGACGATCCGGTGCCTGTGGTGGGTAGTATCTCGTTCGACAAGCGTCTTTTATGAGGAGGCTCGCGCCTGATTGGCGAAAGTGAGTCTCTGACATTCATCGCGTACCAGTAAGACTGAGAGGCTGGTTAGAATGTTTTTGTAACACCGTACCTTGGTCACAGTTGACGCTATTTCGAGAGGTTGAGGTGCAGGTTGAAGCGGGTAAGAGAGGTGAGATAGAAGTTACAGAGGGCAAAACTAGGGAGATGAGTCCTGGTGAAGGAGCATTCGTATGAAGTTGCGCTCATTCGGTCTTCATTCGTGCTCTCACCTGTTTCTCTGAGGAGCCTAGAAGATATGGGCAAGCGATGGTAGCACGGGTGTACAACCACGGTACGTCCTATGTAGCGACAAGACCTAAGGCCCGAAGCTCATGACTCGCACGAATTGAGAGATGGATACGCAGTTGATTATTCACATTTCGCGAATGTTTACTTTTCAATCGCCGCCCCTTACCACTTCTTGTTTTCGTCGTTGAAGTCGCGTCCCTGGCGCTCCCGCTCTAATCTAGCATCAAACTCTTGCTGTGCGCGCTGCCTCTCCATAGCCCTCTCATCATCACCCTCAACAAATGTGTATGAATCCCCGAGCGTGGAGCCTTCTCTTTGCTCCCTGCGCTCAGGCTCCACTCTCCGTGACTGCTGCTGTGGCTTTTGAAGGGGCGCTGGCGCACCACCGCGTCTAAGACGGTCCCAGCTTGATTCCCCAGGCCTTGCTTGCGGCTGGGGCTGCGATTGCGGATTGTTGACTTCATCCTGGAAGAGGCCGCCGGTAGGAGAAGCGTCGTCATCGAAAGGAAGTGATGATGGCTGTGCAGACTGAGGTCGTGAAGATGGTTGGCGATTCCAAGCTTCAGTAGATGGCGGACCCTGCTGGCGTTGTGAAGTCGATTGCGATGTATGGTTCGAGAAACTCTCCCACGTGTCTGTTCCTGCAGATTGAGTCCCCCATGTTTCGTTTCCAGCAGTCGGGCTCATGTCGTCCCCTCCATCGCCGTTGTCTTGGGGTTGCTTACCCCACCTAGCCTGTGGCGAAGGACCACCTCCCGCGCGATTCCTTACCTGCTCCTGGAACTCTCGTCGCCTGTCCTGAATCTCGCGTCCTTGTTGTGCGGTCCTCTGTCCTTCGGCGTGTGACGAAGCCTTCAACTCCTGTCCAAATTGTTCCAGTTTAGGATCGTTTGATGTGTTAACTGCAGCAAGTGGCTGAGCAAGAAGTTGGCCGATGATGTTGCCCATCTGTCCTGCCACCAACACATATAAAGAGAATCGCCATGTATGTCGTGCGAACTGCGCCATATTGCCCTTGATGGGACCAAATTTATTTCGATCAATGTCCTCAACCTTGGGTTGATAGAAGGGGTATTTCATCTTGTCCCAGGTCCTGTACCATTGGTATGTTCCTGCAGCTGCACCCGTGGCAGCGAAATAGCTTTTTGTCTGCTCGAGCTGGTATATGTGGTATGCGAGCGCCTGTGCTTCCTCCGAGTTTAGTTGACGGCCAACTTTGCGCTCGGCAAACTTGAGGGTAGTCTCCGTCTTGAAGCGGACAGCGCGATCGGAGAAGCCCATGAAAGTGCCTATGATGGGTAATGGCTGGGGTAGGGTGCTCGCGTCGAAGCGAGCGCCTGTGGATGGCGGCGACGCGGATGCATATGGGTCGTCCGACGAGGGATATGGGTTATCTGAGAAGCTTTCTGGCGCTGTGTTTTCGACGTCCTCGAGCACCATGTTGAGCTATCTGGAATGGGGTTGTCTGGTTGTGAAGTGCGTTGCGTGGTGTGACGCGAAGAGCCATCGGAGCTTGTGGTACTTCAAGTGCTAGACTCAAACGATGACGCCATGGAACATTGCCTCGGAACCATCGCCTGGGCAGGGTCCAATTCTGCAAACACCTATACACAATGCCGCTACCGAAGATGCACCTCACACCCTGTCGACATTAATTCCACGTTGGTCTGCTCTTTATTTCATGACGTCCAAGTTAAAAGGTTGAAAGATTCAATACGGTCTATCCCCAAAATAATCCTAATCCAGCAATATACCATCCCTACAATGTATGTACTTATACAATGGACAAAGAAATGAACCTGCTCCAGATTCGACCCAACTACTGCAAACCCCCATATGCACGCAAAGAAACAGAGACTAGAAAGTGTTGAGCGAGGAAAATACCCAATTCGCTTCAGGAGAACGCCGCGACCCAAAGCCGCCTACAACGGCCAATTACGATAACCAGGAGTAACTCTCGGAGTGCGCTGAAAGAAAAGCGACAAACAGAAACACGATTCACCATCCCTCGCTACACGCTGTATATGCTTTTGCCGACCCTGAATGTCGTTCGAAGAGAACATGGTAACCGGAGTTTGGGCTTCAACGGATACGATAACTATAAGATGATGCAGCGGCAGCCAGCTGTAGGCTCATCTTCGGTATCTCTTCGGCTCCCAGTCTTTCCGGTCTTAGCGTTTTCTTCGTCGTCGACCATCTCTTGTGGCTTAACTGTCATGTGCACCACATTAGGGGAGTCTGTCTGGAACCGGCAATCTGTCCGTTGTCAGTAGCTGCACCATGAGCCCGTAAGGGTCGGCCTATGCAAGCTGCGCGTCGTAGCTGGCCCAGCCAGTAGGAAGCGTGTGCCGAGCGGTTGGACAAGCCACGCCAAGACATGAGCTGATAGAGAAGAGGTTCTTACCTTTTAGTGGCGATTTGTCGTCGAGCATGCGACCAAAGTGGATCAGTCGTATCGAGACTGGCGACGTAGGTCGAGTCTCCCATTCTGTAGAGAGTAGTTAGCGTTTGCCAAAGGAGGTACGGAAGTGCGTGTCAAGTTGCGATTGCGCTCGAAGCATTATGCAGATCAAGATGGAGAAAGCTGGCGACACAGCCACCCCACTGCCCAGCCAAGCATGACCCGACTTGGGCGCAGAGCAAGGAAGAAATGCGCATGCGTACCTTCTCGCCAGTCCCGCCATATCAGCTCCTTGAGCGTGTATACACTGATGTTGTAGGGGTCCATGTTCTCAACGTTGATGTTGCGCTTCTTCAGGTACTTCTCCTCGATCTTGTATGGATGTCTCGCACCACTAGTGAGGAGCAGCATTATCACGAGCACGGGGCCGTTGGTGTTGTCTGGGTTTGCCGCTGGTGTATCCGTCGACGGCCCAATCGCCTCGGTCTCTGCGCGATTTAACGCAGCGGGAGGTGCGGGTTTCGCAGACGGAGAAGCAGCGACAGGCGCGTTCTCAGAGGCGCTGGTCTCGACTGCAGGTGGTGTGGAAGTCGCTATCGGAGCTGTAACGGGTGTCTCTGCAACCTGCGTGCCCGTGTTCGCAGAGGCTGGCACGACGCCCGCCGCCTGGAGAGTCCTCATCTCGACCGGGCTTGACGACAGACCTTGATCGCTCCTGCTCTGTGGTCGCGACCCTGCGCCCGCTTGCTGTGGAGTGCTCTGTGGTGCCGTGGGGGCTTGATCCGCTGTAGACGCCATGGTTGGCCGGCTTCACTCGCGATGTTATGCGGCAATAGGAGGAGCGAGCGATTGATTAGGGTCAAGCGAATGGATGACGGATGCACGACGGGAGATTTCTTCCGGTGAGCGTCGTCGTCGTTGCAGAGGGCACGGCAGCGAAGAATAGGTTGGTGTTGAGATGTATTGGGCTTCTGATGCGTGGGTGATGGAAGGTCGGGCGACCGTGCGCGATTGGAAGGTCGCCGTCGCCGCCTTGCTCTCCTTCTCCGCAATCCGCAAATGCGGCAAGAACGACCCGCCGGCTCCACCAAGAGCCACTACTGAGCCGAGAACACCGCCTCAACGCGTGGCCATGATGCTGCCCGCTTGCAATTTGCTGGTAACCATCCATCGGTACCACGCACCCTCGTCCACCTGTCTTGTGCCTCTCCTGTCACTGTCAACTCTGCTGGGCCCGTAACGCGCCAGCCTTTTCGCTACCCAAGCGCGTGCCCCTGCATGCTATCTCCCCATGGCGATAATTGGTCTGCATGCATCTACTTTACGCCACATGCACAGTAATCAAAGTGGACCCGGGTTTCGTCCCGACATATCTGGCAGTATTGTTTAGCACATGACAAGCTTGCAAAGTCACTCCAGACTTGTTCCGTGGTTGGAGATTTCATTATTTCATTCATGTTTCGGTCCTGCACCACCATGCCATGTCCATATCGTGAGCTGTCCGTACTGCGAGTTGAACTGTCGCTTGTGTGCATGTGGAATATCCTCCATGCTACTGCTCAAGCATCACATGAGTACGAGCCTACCAGTTCATCTTCATCTTGTGCTCAATCTCCGTGTGGAAGTCTGGCACCTCACGTAGCTCGCTGCCTGTGAAGACATCCTCCCAGCCAATTTCACAATCTCGTCCCTGCAGAATGTCCCGGTGAACGCCACTGCTTCCGCCCAGGGTTGCCGGCCTCCACTCGCCTGCCTCAGCGATCTTGAGCTCCATACCCCTGCGCACTGGCTCTGCGATGCCAAACTGTCGCCTCAGCATTTCCATCTTCAGGCGGTCTTGGGTGTCTCGCCATTGGGTAAGACGAGCCTCGAGTGGGTGGGCAGACTGAAGAGCGACGGGTGCTGCCGACGACGACGATGCGGTAGGTGCTATGGAAGTCTGGGCGAGGCGAGATCGCAGCGTGTCGTGGACACCCGGAGCAGAGGGTGCCGAAGTCTCGAGGGCGGTTTGCGTGGGGTGCGCCTTGTTAGGAACGAAGCGGAGAGACTGGGGTGCATGTTAGGACATATCAATGTACACGAGCGCTATGGTGCTGGCAGCTTACCATCTTGATCAACGTGGCGCTGACAGTACGCGGAGCGGTTTTGAGTTGATCGATACGGCGACTGGACCTCGGATATTGGTCTTGATACGCTGGAGTATTGTTGACGTTCGAAGGCGGGATGTCGAATTGTTGTTATCGATGGATGGGAGCTCACTCCAGGCTGCTAGTGACGCGCCCACTAGCGTCGTCTTGGCATACGAGTAGATGGGCAATCCCCAAACTTGATCGCATCACAAACATGAGAGCGAACTATCTAGCATAGGCCATGTTTCCCTTTTGATTGCTTTCAACTTCAAGTAGCTACATTCCGACCATGCTGTCAAGGGGCAGGTCCCAGATTATGCAAGCAGCCATCATAGCTCCTACACTGACCATAGCCGCCATGAGGATGTTGACAGCATTATTGTCTAGTAGATCGCTCCCAACCTCGATTTTCCGACTCTCATGCTGCGGGTCCACGACTGCATTGCCGCTCGCTCCAGCCTTCAGCATTGTCCCCGATGCCTTGACCGACGCTGCAGTGTTCACGCCGCTCGTCTTCGTAGTGCCATTCAAGCCTTCAGAACGACTGCTGACTTTGCTTTGTATCTGACCCACTTTCGAGAGGTGGAGCGGATTACTGCTGCGTACAAGAACTCGTCTGCCTCCTTCACCTTCTACCACCTTGCCTGAATGCACGTCGATGACGCTAGCTTGGACAAGAGCACCGAGGAGCGAGTCGAGAAGTGTTCCACCAAAACCGGCAGCTGTCAAAGCAAGTGTATATGCAGTCTTTTGCGAGAAGCTCCAGTCTTTGCAGAAGGGCACAAAGAGTGTAGATGTGGCTGAGAGTATGAAAGCTCCGAGCAGCCCAGCACCAAGTCCAGTCGCTGTCACCCCTCCATTTGTACCAGGCGGGACGATGCGCCACGGAGCTGTTATAAGACGTGGCTTCGATTTTGATAGGATACCGAGTTCAGAGGAGAAAGTGTCTGCGGCGACTGCAGCGTAGTTACTAGACTATGTTAGCAATATGCGGGAACATGGAGGGCATTCGCTTACGCTACGATACCTATCACCAGCGTGTCGCTGCCTCTATGCCAACATAGACCCTGGTCACCATATCTCCCTTCTTTCCTTAGCTGCCAGAGGTGCAGCAATATTAGCACCGAGGCTACGCCGGAGTTCGCAATAACTTGAACATGGTTGCGAGTGCCTTCTCCACCAGATGCACCTGTCGCTGACTGTGTCAATTTCGCTTTGATATCATGCTTGACCTGTCCTTGTGTTAGACGTCTTCTGCAGGACTCTTCGAAAGAGCATACCTTCGTTACGGTACTGCCAGCCAAGAAGAAAACTGCAAGAAGAGCAAAGAATACACTCCACGGATGTAACGCGTGTACAACTGCTGTCGCGAACGCTGCAAGAAGTCCGATTGGGGTCAGTGACTTTCGCGAGTACGCTCTATATACGAGCGCAGCAGTAGCCGGAACCGCTATAACGGGTCTCATGCTTGGACGTGTTGGACTTGGTGTAGGGCGGCACGGAGGTGTGGCTCGAGATGGTGACCCTTCCCGAGATCGATTGATGTTGCGTCATGCATGGCCAAGCGTCCACAGATCCATCTATCATAGGGTGAGACCCACCCGGGCATCGCCACCATCAACCTCAGAACCCGTCAAACTTACAATCATCTTCATGTAGCTACTGGGACACAGAAAGCTCTATCTTTCTTCAAGATCCCTTGTAGTAATTGGAACAGCGCTTCGAAGGCGGACACACATCGTCGTCACGCACCTTACCCTCAGTGGTGTGCCAGATCCGTTCCACCATCATTAAGTTCCTTTCCAGAGCCGTTAAGATCTATATAAACCTTGCAATTCCTGGTAGTTTCCCAAGAGGTTCCGCAATACGTATAATTTAATTCGACCATCTCCGATCCGAGGCAACTTGCAAGGAGTCTTCGCACGTCGATTTATACGGAGTCACAAAAAACATCTTCGACAGCCTTGGTGATCAAGACTACTCTCAAATCTTGCATTTCTTGAGCTCGCAGTCGATGATCAGCTGAAAACTGTTCGAGTTTTCGGGCACAGGTACGTCTTCATGATGGTTGACCTGGCAAGCGCGCAACGAGATCAATGGCTCTACTACGAGGTCTCGCAATGCTCTGGGGGGACGATAAAAGTTGAGAAGTTTCAATTACGATCACAAAGACCAAGTGCCAGCAGATATGAGCTAAACGAATAGGAGTGGAATGCTGTTAGCGAAAGCTTGGGAAAGCTTGACCATTGTCAAATTTGCTTAAGCTCATCATGCGACGGGTGACACCTGCTGCGTGCGCCTAACAGGCGTCCAACGAGGCTGTGTCTTGTACCAATCGCGACTCAGCCCAGGACCGGCAATAAGAATCCATCTGCAAGAATTGCTGCGATTGGTCCGCGAGGGTGACCCAACTAGGAATAGTCGAATCTCCCTCAACGCTTGGTCACACCCAGAGCATTCGTGGCTAAGATACCGTGTAAGGCCCACTAGATTAGCTACACGAGGCTTTCAACACCCTTGAATTCGATTCATAGCCACAGATGTCCCTTGGCTGTGCATCGTCCTATTTGGGTGAGCTGTCCGCATCTGCAAATACAGCACAAGATATAAGGCGTCACTGTCTGGAACGATGGAGGAACTCAAATCACCCGCTTTCATTCTCTCTGCACTCGTCTTTCCACTGTCTTTTTCCGATTCTCAAACATGGCGATATATCTCTTCAAACTTGTCCGGAGAAAGCTCAGGGAACGTGAAGCCAAAAAGACCATCCCAACTACAGATGACTCCCACCTAGTACCTGAGCCTGCCTCAGAACAAGAGCTTCAAGATTACCCGAATAGACATGGCCATGGACTATCTCAAGACTCAACAGGAAGCCACATCAATTTCCTTACACCTGAAGAAGCAGCACAGCAAAATATAGAAGCTCGCCGAAGAAGGACGCGGCAGTTAAAGTTGATGCTAGGACTTGTGTTACCCAACTTCCTGGCTGCGATGGACGTGACCATCGTTGCTCCGGCTATTCCACTTATATCATCTCATTTCGGTACGTCGTTCCAGTCCGTCCCCTCAGCCTCAAATACCTACGTGCTAACATACGTCCTTAGATCAGCTGTCCGGAAGCTTCAACTGGATTGTAGCAGCTTACACGCTCACATTCACCACATTTATTCCTGCATCAGGACAACTAGCTGATATCTACGGTCGCCACTTCGCGCTTCAGTTTGAGATGTTTTGGATCATGATAGGGAGTGTGATCTGTGCTACCGCCCAGTCTTGGAGCATGTTGCTTGCGGGCCGTGCTTTGCAAGGCTTAGGCGCTGCTGGCATCGTGAGTTTGAGTCGTATCATTGTGTCTGACGGGTCAACACTGGCGGAAAATTCGAGAAGTACCTCAGTCCTATCATTGATCATGGGATGCAGGTAAGTTCTCACTCCATTCGACTGAGGAACCTGTACTGATCATGTTGAACCAGTTATGCTGTCGGCCCAGTCATCGGTGGCTACCTCGCAGATGCGAGTTGGCGGTACATCTTCGTTCTCCCTATCGGCGTTGCAGTGATTGCCATGGTCATCATCTTCTTCGTCATGCGCAAAGAGCTCGCTCAAGGACGTGCCACAACCGCACCAGGCGAATCGCGCCGTTTGGGCTATATCTCCGGTCTCGCCATCATCGATTGGCCCGGCGTAATCATGTTCATCTTTGGAGTAGGCTGCGTGATCCTCGCCATACAATGGGGCGGAACACAGTACTCATGGAGCTCGGTTCCGGTCATTGTCGCTCTCATCGTCGGCATTGTCCTGTGCATTGCTTTCTTCGCCTACGAGTACTTCCTAGGCCCTGACCGCGCCATGTCAAGATTCTTTCCTCGTCAAGTTCCCATGATTCCCTCCACACTCTTCCGCAAGAAGGACACAACGTTGCTTATGATTGTCAACTTCTCCGCTGGTATCTCCATGGTCTCCGCTTTCTACTTCCTGTCCTACTACTGGCAGCTTGCCGAGGGGTACTCATCCAGCCAAGCTGGTGTACAGCTCCTCTACTATACGCCTGGCCTAGGTGTCGGTGTCTACACTGCAGCCCTGCTATGTAACCGTTGGCCAAGACAAACATTCTCCCCTTTGCTCATCGGTTCCATTGTTGAAGGGGTCGGTCTCGCACTCCTCACCTACTCGATATCCATCCGCCACATCACACTGGTGAAAGTGTTCCTCGCTGTATCAGGCGCAGGGACAGGATTACGCTTCATGCCCATTGCCCTTCACGCAGCAGGTATCTGGTCAACGCGTATTCCCAGCATGCAATCGCTGCTTTCCTTCATGGTGCCTCTGGGGGAGACAGTTGGTATTGCAATGATGGGATCGGTCTTTTCAAACAAGCTTTCCACTTTTCTGACGAGAATCAACCCTGGGAACGGTATCTCGTTACCTGCCACTGGTCCACCGAGCCTCGAGCTCTTGAGCAGTCTTCCTGCAGCAGTCAAGATAGAAGTGCAGAATGCGGCTGCCAAGGCAGTGATGTGGTCTTTGATCTCCGTGTTGCCTTTTGTTGCCGCAGCCATCGTTGCGTCCTGCTTTCTGGGCAATGTGTGGATCGGGAAATCGGCAACGAAGGGCAAAGAAGGAGAGCCGGCACGCCCAGCGGAAATGGGCAAGGTATTATATGGTCTTTACATGCTCTCACTTTGCACTGGAAGAGTTGTGGAGCAGAAGCAAGATCTAGATGTCAATATCTCAGATGAGGCGGCGAAAGAAAGAGGAGATTTACAGGAGGGCGATGCAAGCATGATAGCGTCAAATAAGAAACAGTATGGGGCTGTCGATAGCTCGGTGTAAGGTATTGATAGACATAGACTGTATTTTATCTCCTACTAGACCTTTTTGAACGACTCTCAGTCACTACTCTTACTAGTCCTAGCAGATTCGCTCATGCGGCTCCCTCCAAGGTACACCTAGCACCTCGAAAATCTTTTTCTCGCTCCTAGCCTCGACCAAGATACCCTCGTTCAGCTTCTCGCCCCTTCTTCCACGATGAACGTCCTTGTACAGTCCCTTTTGATTCAACCTCATACTCTTCTTGCGTGCAAGCAGTCGGATACTGCGATTGAAAATGTCATTGCCAGTGAAGTATATTAGCGCAGCTCCCATTTCCTCTTCCGGTACAAGGAGAAAGTCCATCCTGCGCCAGACCTCTGAGGTAGGGAGGCAAGAAGCTCCATGCCACTTTGACCCTGTAGGGTCGTTGGATCGAGAAGTCGCTAGGGATGCTTTCAAAAATCCAATTTTGGAGAGACGGGGGACTAGGACTTCGAACACCGTTGTCCGAATGGCGGCAAGCGAAGTACCGGGTTTTGTGAGTATCACATCGATATCGCCCGAGTCTTTTGCGCCTCGGCGATAGCTACCCATAATGGTAGCTTTGAACTTGCTATCGATCTTCTGCAATTCTTTGACGAGGATGGCGCCGTGTGCTTCCACCTCAGCGCGTGGTATCCTGGAGTTGAAGTCATCATAATGCTCTACGCCGACTTTGTTGCTCTCGGTAAGCTTCGCTTTGATTCGAAGATCGTCGAGCGTACGATAACCCGCTTGGATCCATCTGTTAGCCTGAACAAGTCCAGCGCCATAGACACCAAGGAACAATCGGAGAACTGAATCAAGAGGGTCATCTCGAGTACTTTCCAGTCTGCGAAGACGATCGGTGAGTGCAATCTCCTCAATCTTGTCGGCCAGTCGCAAACCAATACCAGGGAGTGCTGCAGCTTGTTTCGCAGTGGTGATCTTGGTATTCTGCTTCTTCAATATAGTTATGCACTTGCGGTAGCGTATCGGCCGCCATGTGTCCTGTATCTGCTCGTAATATTTGCACATCTGGTCCAAGATTTCAATAGTTCGGGCATTGGGGTTCAGGGACGTATAGCCTTGAGCACCCGGATCCATACACTGGAATACGTTTTGGTTGAAGGGCTTCTTTTCACGCAGAGCTGATGCTTTCGAGATGAAATTAAACTTATTCGGTAGTTTGGGAGTGGTTGCCACGGGCTCTTCGTCTGTATCTGAGTCCTCCACATCCTCGATGCCGCTTGCTGCTGGAGACTCTGTATCCTCATCCCTTAGCGGCAAGTGTGCTGTGGCTTTGGCTTCTAGTATAGCCCGAGAAAGATCATCGTCGAATTTATCGATAGCCTTTGGTTGCGTAGCCTTCTTGGGGCTCGAAGATAGCATGACAAAACTATCTCTGACAGTTTCGTCCAAAGAGCCAGTTGGAGCTGTATCTGCAGTGATCTGGGTAGCAGGGACATGTTCTTTTTCTGGGTGTGAATCAGTATTCTGCAAGCATGCAGTCGTCTGTCGTGTTGACGATTTGACCTGTAGCGGCGTCTGCGAAGCGGCCGAAGCATTTGGTTGCAGCGTCGGCTGTTTGAGTCCTCTGCTATTGGGCGCGCCTTTTGGAGCAAACCGTGGCCAGCTCGGGTCTTGAAGCCCTCGGAATTGTATACACTCCGGCACATATGGTTCGTACTTGACTAGTACAATATCCTTGGGGAGTCCTGACATGTTCAAATATTTCAACAAGCTCATGTACGTGTACTGGTCATCATCCACGATGACGTGTGTGATGTCTTCTCTCCATGTTTTGACCCAAGCAGCTCCAAGTTGTATCACTTTGTGTATACGACGTCTCCGAGTTGTGAGTATATCGTCGTTCGGTGGGTAGAAATATACGACTTTGCCTTTGAGATATTGTTTGTACTCGGGATCCAGCTGGATGTTGATTGCTGGTTTAGGGTTCCTCTTGTTCCCGCACTCTCGGGGAACATCACCTACTCGAATGTAGAAAGGTGTAAGATCTATGTCAGCTGTCTCAGGTAAGGACAATACCCTTCTTAGCTTGGTTTTCGGTCCAGCAGCTGTTGCCGTTGTCCTACCGCGTGGTTTCGTGGCTGGTGAGCCTCTGATACGTTCTGATTCGGGCGCCGTAGATGAGCGCATCGGCTTATGGCCCGCCTGTCGCTCTATCTCGCGTAGTTTCTTTGTATGCGCTTCGAACGCCTCTCTTGGTGTCAGTCCAAGAAAGCTACTTGTTTGTCTTGTGAGGGATGTGGGTCTTGTGGATCTCGATTCTCTTAGTGCTTGTTCGAGTTTATTCGCGCCGTTGTCCAGGGTGTTTTGTGCATCGTTGGACGTATCCATGAGTTCGTGTTCTTTGAAGTAGGCTTCCTTGGCTGCAAGCTCGGAGTCTGACATTGTAGAGGATTCTGTAGTTCAGTGGTCGAGTCTTTGTGACTGCAGTGATTTTGACTCAATCTGGGTCGTTAGTGACAACGGCACGGCTCCATTTGAAGTCGTTCAATGTTGAGCGTGGTGGGTGCGAGGTGGTCAAGAGGGACGACTGCGAAGACCTATTTACCCAATATAGAACCCTGTATATCGATCGCAAGCACCGTTCGTCATACTTGCGGTTACCTGGCAACATGCAGGTGAAAGAGTTGTGGAATATGACCGAGGCAGCAGCGCGTACAGGGATGTCAGTTGACGCGAAAGCACGTGTCACTTTGGCCGCATTGATACTAGCTCGAGGCTTGCTCTCGTCATTTCTCGAGTTTGGCGGGACACAGATATTCCCCATCCAAAATGCTGCAACCACAGATAATAACATCATTGCGACGCACGTTCCTTGATGTCTCGTCGATCTGCGTAAGGTGTCAGGGTCGACTTGCAATATCCTCAACTGCAAGGCAACCATCCACTCGACCATTCACCTCGATACATACTCTGCGCCAGCAAGAAACAGCTCCCAAGCCCACCCCCGGCTCACCCGCTCCCGACCCCAAAGATGAAGACATATTCATCCCGAAGCCTCTCGGCCGCCCCATCGGTTTCAGCAGACCTCCGCAACCGGGCGAAAACACTAGCAATCCCAAGACCAAAAAAGATTACTCCGGCATGAGTATGTCGCAACGGAACCTCGAGAAGCGCAAAGACCTTGTGGAGAAGTGGGGCACGAACTACTTCCGTGACTTTAAGAATATCCGCAAGTACAGATCAGGAAAGACATTCATGGCAAACCCGAGAATCTTCAAGAAAGATGCTGCGCTGTACTTTCCCAACTTTCACGGAGATACACTGGAGGGAAAGGACAAGGACACTACAGACGTGCTCAACGGCAAGATTAGTGTTGTGAATGTGTTTAGTTCAGATTGGGGAGTACGCCAGGTGGACACATTCACAGGAAAGCAAACGAATGCTGGGCTGCACGATATGCTTGCACAAAACCCGGGCGTTGCGCAGATGGTGGATATCAATATCGAAGAGAACAGCATGAAAGCAATGATCATATCTTTGTTCCAGTGGCGCTTGAAGGCCTCTAAAGCAAAGGAGGATTGGGGAAAGTACTTTATTGTAAAGAGAGGTGTTAGTGAGAGGATAAGGGAGACTATCGGATTATTAAACGGCAGAGTCGGCTATGTCTATCTCGTAGACCAAGACTGCAAGATTCGATGGGCGGGTAGCGGGGACGCGGAAGGGACAGAGATGGAGGACATGAACCGGGGTTTTGCGAAGATGGTCTCTGAAGCCCGATAGTGCTTTCTGCAACGCCTATATTCGCGAGGTACATTGACGACATGTAACGATATTTTGTACAGCATACGGAAGACTTCAATTCCTACGATACCCAAAATCTCTGGAAACATAACTGTAATCATACAGGCCCAAGACGCCTTGCGCATAGCATGCTAATGAAAGTCATGAGGATATCCAGCCCGCTTGAACGCCCAAAATGAAGATGTGCAACCCCAGCCTACCTGAACCATAGCAGCATCAAGAAGCAGAACGCGATGAAGCTACCCAGTATGATGCCGTCTCTGCGCTTCTTTGTGCCAATCCTTCCAATTAAACTGTTGATGCCTGGCACTTGACTTGCTGCGCCCACTATTCTCCGGTTGATGCTTGTCAACGTTTCCCTTTGCAGGCTGAAGTTCTCTTGCACAGCGTATGCCTGGCTGAGAACCGAGTCGGCCACGTTGTGCGAGTTGTCGATGCGATTTCTCTCGTCAAGCATGTAGTCAGCCTCCGCCTGCTCTGGGTTCGCAGACCGGTATGCATCGATGTCCGATCGTACGTTGGAGAGGAGGTTTGCTCGATTACGGGCATCGTTGAGGGTGGCCTTTAAGCGCGCGAGCTCGCGACGGTGATCTGAAAGTACTTCGCGATGTCTGGCAAGATTGTTCTGCTTCACAGCCGAGGAACCGTGCGCCGATTCGGAGTCGAGGAGCCGTGACAGCTGGCCGACAAGTCCATCTCTTTGCTCAAGAATCTCCTGTAGCCTAGTCTCGACGCGCAACTCTTCTTCTGAGGGCTTTGCGGGGATGTTTGGCGTCGAACCGAACTGCGAGTATGTGTGGAACAGCGTCTCTGTCTACCATGCCTTGTTAGCAGGGCTGCAGCGAAAGCCGACCAAGTCCGTCGCAGCCGTGAATGAAACCCACTTGTTGTTCAAGAGTGCGCGCTTGCTGACGCAGTTGCGCCCATCCACCTCCAGTAGAAGACATTTCGAGTAGTATGGTATCTTTACAGGCAGAGGCGGCAACAATGGACCTTGGACTTCTGGCATGATGAGGGTCGCACCTGCCCTGGCGCGGGCTACGCAATGCACGGCCAAGGCGCTAGTTCATCTCGGGGATAGTGTAAATAGTTTAGCGGCCACAGTCGAATTCGACCTGTGGACAACACCAAAAGTATTTCGTTGACGACACGCGAGACCCCATCCACATCACCCGGTCCTACTAACACACAGTCAAAATGGTATGTCTATGCTCTCAATTATCTGTTCAGCACGAGAAATGCGTCGCGCAGACCCTGGACCGCCGACAGTAGAGGGGTCAGGCTGTTGCACCCTCCGCTAGTGGTGCTGCGCAGGATTTGAGATTTCACGATTGAGAGAACATGTGCTGACTTGATGCCTCCAGTCTACTCCCAAGGTCGTACGTACACCGTCGCTCGCGCAAACACCACCGTCCGATTTCGTGCTCACAACCACCGCAGAAGACCGCCCAGCTGTGGAACAAGTCCAAGGATGAGCTCGCGTCCCAGCTCACCGACCTCAAGTCGTATGTCGCCGAACATGGAACACTGGCAGGGAAGACGGAATGCTGACGGATGTAAAGGGAGTTGATCCAGCTCAGGACCGCCAAGGTCACCGGTGGCTCCAACACCAAGCTCACCCGCATTCATGACGTCCGCAAGGGAATCGCCAAGGTCCTTACTGTCATCAACGCCAACCAGAGGGCTCAGCTCAGGCTCTTCTACAAGGGCAAGAAGTGCGTTTAGGCCGACTTGGAAGCTCCAGGACAAGTTTCTAACATTGCCTAGGTACACTCCTCTTGACCTCCGCCCCAAGCAGACCCGCGCCATCCGCCGAAGACTCACCAAGCACGAGGCTTCGCTCGTCACTGAGAAGCAGAAGAAGAGGAACACACACTTCCCCCAGCGAAAGTACGCCGTCAAGGCATAAGCGTGCTTTCGTGAAGGTGTTTCCTCTTTTCTTCCTTTGTCTCTCATGAAGCATTGCATTGCCGGGGCTTTTCCAGCTAGCGACTCACCAGTGTACCCTTAGTACCATACTCCAACGGGGCCAGGAAGGTGGGATAGCAGATGGGAATGGACGGACAGGGCGATCTTTAACGGAAATGGGTTGGCGTCCATGTCAAGATCTATGAATAAAAAGTTCAGACAAGCACGGAATGATACCTCATGATTTGTGAAAGGAATCTACCTTGTTTCCACGATTCCATGAGCAACGTCCGATGCGCCTGAAGTACGAATTATGACCTACTGAAAGCATGCAGCCTGGGTAATGTAACCCTTACGAATTGACCAATTTTGCTAGCGCTAGGTCACTGTTTTTCTAACGCGCTGGCTATGCATTTAGTCTTTGCCGTATTAGTGGATATATGCGATACCTCTATTGACAAAACTTTTGCGCTTAAACTAAGAGGACGATGCTCGCCTGGCAGACATACATATCAACCACATTCCTCAGCCAATAATCTCAATCACAACACCTTCTCATACGACATAAGACCTCTCCACACTCTTGTACTCTTCAAGAAGCCGCCTCCCACTCCTTGTACAGACTCAGTTCTTCCTCTTTAACGCCCACCATTTCTTCCCTTACACCTATAACACCGACCCTGCCAATTGCCTCAAGGTCTTTGTACTCCGCAAGAGAAGTCTTGAGCGATCCGATGATGGCCTCTTTGTCCTCCACAAGTAAGACAATAGCATCGAAACCACCAGCGCCGGGTACGACGCCGCCGACAACACCGTCGAGTTTCGAGCAATAGTCTAGCAGACGTGTTTGCTGAGGCGGCTCAATAGGCACCCCTGACTTCTCGCCCATGTCGCGAATCAGAGCGCGGTTGCCATCGATGATCTTCCTCAGGGTGTCATGTTTCGATGCATTGTCGCCTTTTACCTCTGTCGCCAGACGCGTAAGCTCAGCAGCTAGGGCCTCATTGCCGCTTTGTAGCTCTTTCCAGATCTTCTCCGCTTCTTCTGGTTTCTGTGATCTCCAGGCGAGGACTTTTTTGACCATACCCGGTGTTTCACTTCCGCAGTCGACGTCGCACATGACCAGTCGCAGACCCTCGGGCATCTTGATAGCAGCTTTCTGTATCTCAGTGTCCCATGTCGGCCCTTCGACTAAGGAACGCAACTGTGTTGCGAAACCTGGACTGCTAGGCTGAGGTAGGTTACCCAGGAGGGACGGCGAGAAACGCTTGTATAGGCATGATCCGAAGACGGCAGAGGCGATGTCAAAACCGCTTCCGACTTTGCCTTGAGCATGTGAGTGAGAGGCTTGAGCAAGATTGTGGAGGATAGTTTGGCCCTTTTCTGTTCGTACGTCGAACAGTTCTCTTGGAAGGTAGAATCCTAGTACTGCTGCCGTAAAACTTGTGACCAGTGCTGCGCTACTTCCCAGTCCCGTCTTATGCGCCTCCTTCAGGCTCACGTTGAAGTCCTGGAAACGAGAAATTTTGTGCGGCTGGGAGATTTGGTTGGAGCTACGGGTGACGCCTGGGTTGGAGTAATAAGCTTGATCAGCTAGAATCCGGATGCTGGAAGGTTGGATGAGAGTCTTTGGGAGAAGGGCGTGGATATATGTTAATGCATATGTTAGAGCGGTTTCTATGAATGGGTTGCGAGATCTGGCGATAGATTGCTCATGGCCGCTAAGATGGTGGTTAGTCGTGTCTTGTCTACCGGACCGAAGAGGATTATCTCGGTGACCATGACTGAGTCGTATCTACTGTAGCGGTAGACAATTTTGCACAGTGATGCAACAGAGAGAGTGAATTAGAAGACGCCAGAGCACGATGGAAGTAGGGAAAGGGCACACGACCAAAGCTTCAGTCGAGTATTGATACAGGCGCTTGTAATTACAGGCATAGTCATGATTGTAGCCTTGTTTTGCAACAGCTGTTGACAGAGGATGTGGTTGCAGGCTCATGAAAAGCGCATTGCCCAATTAGGTAGAGATGCAAGGAGGCATGTTGAGTGTATGCCGAGAAAAAAGAAAAGAAAAGAGAGCCAATGAAACAAAGTGACAGCACACTTGAAGAACATGTTTGGTGAAGGGAGGGATGCACTTACACGCTCAATTGTGTGATTGTAATGCCTCCGTCTTCACTCTGCGACCGGTATCCATACTCCCAGATTGCCTCACGGAACTGAGGACTTGTCACAAGGATCTCATTGATCGTCACACCGGACCTCGTTTTGATAGGTTCGACAACGGTGTGAATCCTCGCGTCTAAACCGAATACCAGGCCTGTATATTCCCGGTCAAGTACGAGGTAGCCACCCGCAACTAGTACCTTTGCCGGACAAGAAACGGCCTTCGGGCTCAACGGCGCGTCCGATGAGGACATGCTGGAAGTGGAGCAGTTGGTGGGATAGGATGTAGCGGGACCTGGATTAGTTGGATTGATAATTTGATAGCAGGCAGCAATATTCGCGCAATGTTGGTTGGAGGGAGCTGAGGATGGTGGTCCTGCGGGGGTGTGCAGCGTAACTAAGAACTGCAGGCGCTGTGGGTCGCTGAGCTTCTGCCACGAACTTCTTGCAGCTGTGACCTATACACCGTTTCTTCCAGGACACCAACCACAGCCAGAATTATGATGGGCATCACGATGATAAGTCAATCACGTGCGCACATACACTGCGCCGCAATTCACATGCAGCTTTCGCCTCCGTCGGGCACGCCAATTGATCCTCTGGGACCGGACCTGCGGATTTAAGCCATCAGCTGCTAGTCAAAACCTGCAGCAGGCCAGATCCATGCGGGGTGCAGCCGTGTTCTTCTCGTCGTTCTGTCTGACTCATCCGGCCTTCGATGGGCGTCCTGGACGGCACGGTGTCAGAATCGTACCGGTACCGACGTTTCCAGGGCTGCGAGAGAAAGCGAGAGTCGCCCATTGGATCGCGAGCCCGGGGTGTTTGATTCCTCTCCGGCAGGACACGTCGTCCGGGCTGCGCGCGTGTGAACGCTTGCCTAAACGCGGTTCAGCGCAGCGCGATAATTTTTCGGCAATTTAGCGTCCATCGCATCGGTCCTACCATTCATGACGACTACGAAACTATGCGCTCGAAGCTTCCTTTTGACTCCCGCTAACCAACTTGCCTTCGAGGCTGACAATATCTCTCTCCAGGCCGCAGCGTGCCTTGCTTTTTCTCAGTCATATTCCCCTTCTCCTTGTAATACAATTGCGACTTCTTCCAAGTATCCGATTGGACTTCGGGCAATAACACAAGGTTTCCTAACCACCCTCGAAATTCCCCACCACACGCAATCCTTACACCCGTAAAGCGCGTTTGTTTGACGGTCATCGTCAAATGAACCTGCATCGACGCGTAGGGATCTCGAGAATAGTAGGTGTTCTCCGCTTCGACTATCAACAATTGCTTCTACCATCGTGTTTCGTGCACGCGAGCCACAAAGTTGTTGCCTAACATCAAAATTGGTCGCGGGCCGATATCCGAGTCGCCTGAAGCATCGCGATCGTCAAATCACGCTGGGAGAACGTATGCTAACTATCAACAGTCTCACCCTTTCCATCTGGAGGGCTCCTCAAATTCCTAAATGGTGTTTAAGAGTTTCCATCTCGCGCGCCAGAGTCTTGCCAAGGGCTTTACTCACGGTTATGCTCAATCAGTAGTTGCTGGTGTTAGCCAGAACAATCCCCTCGCCTCCCTCCAACACGACCGCTTCCGCAAAGGACTCAAGAATCAACATGCCTTTACATCAACATCGTCTACCACGAGCGCGTTCAAGGCGCTCGCCGCCGGACAACACGACCACCAGGACTCGGGTCTAGCCGCATACTACACAGCATGGCAGAAACACCAGCAAAAGACCGAGGACAAGGAGTGGTCGCAGTTCCAGTTCCGCAAGCTCATCGAGTGGGACCCGGCCTCCTCCAAGGCCGCAGCTGAGGCCAAGGATAGCAGTGTTGCGATTGAAGAAGTGGCAGAACCGGTTCCGGTTCATGCCGGTGTCAACCGCGCCTACAGTACCAGCCAAGTGGAGGATTTCAAAAAGGCTGTTGGTGGTGAAGAGGCGGAGAGAATTGCGCTGGCACAAGTGGATGAGGCCATCGCACAAGAGGTGGCAAGACACAAGGCCGATAACGAAGTTGTGCAGGCCACTCAGGAAGAACTCTCGCCGATTGAAGAGTCACGATCAGAGTCTCCCGTAACCGTCGCGGACACTCTTGTGAATTCGACGATTTTGAGCCGTACCGAATCAACCATCGCCACCAGCCCGATTGAAGCGCATGATGAGTACACCGTACAACTGCACAAGCTGGCCGTCAACCGCAATTATGCCGAAGTACCCGCTGTCTTCGAGGCTATGCTTCGCTCAGATGTCAAGCCATCAGCCACTGCATACAACGCTTTGCTATCCGCTGCGATCCACCTTCCCCGTGCTCAGCATCAGGTGGTCCCCAAGGCTTTGGACGTGTACTCTGACATGCTGCGCCGACGGGTTGTTCCTGATACCGCTACTTACACCACTCTGATTGAACTCCTTTCCGTTCGTTCTCTGGAAGTTGTGTCTCAGAGGCAGAGCTTCGAGGACAGGCGACTACGATATGGTGGTATGGAAGAGGAGGGCAGCTTCATGCTCCAATCTCACGAGACCGATTATGCTATCTTGGCCGAAGATGGGTCGCTGTCAGTCGCTATCAAGCTGTTCGATGCCGCTGTCCATGTAGAGGCAAACCGAACGTTCTCTGAGAAGACCTACCGATTGCTCGTCACCGCTTGCGCGGAAAGTGATCGTGTAGAGGACATGGTTCGGATCTACTCCCACATGGAATCTCACAGCGTAACCCCGGCCGCCGACATGTTTGTTCCAATGATCCAGGCTTTTGGTAAATCTGGTGATCTGAAGAGTGCAGTCGAGTGCTACGACGAATACAAGGCCCTGGCAATCTCAAACGACAATGGTGAGATTGAAATCACTAGGAAGGACAACGACGTTTACGCAGCTCTTGTGAAGGCCTACACCGTCTGTGGCCGTACTGAGGGAGCTGAGAAGTTCCTGTCCAAGATCGAGAGTGCACTTTCTTCTCCAGAAGATGTCACCTCTGTTCGCGACATCGTTGGCCTCAAGGGTTTCCTTCCTGAATGGTTAAAGAACGGTTCTTTCGATCAAGCCTATGTACATGCAGTCGAGCACCTCAGCCCGCAAGCCCGCCAGATCGCTATGGCTGCTATCTGCATCAAGGCTGCTGATCGCGATTCAGTCGAGATTGCTACTCAGGCTTTCGACGATCTTGAAGCCGAGGTCGACTTGTCAAGACCGGCCATGGCGATGGGTGCAATGCACATTCGCACTGGAAACATTGAAGCTGCCGAGGTGTTCTGGAGAATGCTCGAGCTCTCTCCTACCAAGGCTGACTTCATTGAGCCTACTGCCATGCACAGCATCGCGTTGATCGGCAGTGGACATGCGGAGCGTGGTCTCCGTCAAGGTCGTCAGATGTTCGCTCGCATACGGGACTCTCAGTCTGGCTCTACACAAGCTAAGATGGAGATCGTAGAGCACATTGACGAGGCTATCGAGGTTATGGGTCAGTTCATGATGAAGCGTGGTATCTTCCTTCCGCCGCGGGCTAGCATGGAACTGATGTGGACGATGATTGAAAACGGCGGCCTAGTCACCCCAGTTGCTCACCACCTACTTGCTGGAATGGGACCTGAGGCCGTTGTTCAACTCAACTTCGACGACATCACGCTCCTAATGCAAGTTCAATCTGGAATTCTACTCCAGGAGGCCGAAGTCGATGTTGCTCACCTTGCACGATTTGCCCATCTTCTCGAAGTCATCGCTGCAACTGGCACGCCGGTCAACAAAACCACTTCTGGTCTTGTTGAACAAGTGCTTACCAAGCTCGACAGGGGCGATCTCCAGCATCGATGGTACGCATATAAGCATCCGGCTCCGGATGCCTTGTACTCCCCAGCACCCTTCGCTGCCTATCCTGTTCAAGCCCCCATTGCCCCTGCAGCTCCCACTTTCGAGGACCAATATGACCCTTACGCTGCATCCACCGACAACAAGGGCTCCGTTGCCATCACTGAACTACTGGAGAAGACCCATGGACGATCATCGTCTCACCTCAACGAGGCTTTGATGAAGTTCAGGAACATGCGTCGAGCTGGCCGTCACCCTCGGTTTTTCACATATGCTAAGCTCATCACTGCCGCTGCTAAAGAAGACCGCCTGACTCTGGCTCATGATATCCTAAACCTTGCCAAACAGGATGTCCCTCTCCTGCCTCAGTACCGCATTGTGCGATACGGCTGGGTTACCATCTTGGACGCTATGGTCGCTGCTTGCCTTACTTGCAACCAGCGTGATCTCGCATGGAGATACCACCAGGATCTGCTTGAGATGGGTGCCGCCCCGACTGCCAACACCTTTGGTCTCTACATCACGACGCTCAAGGAGTCCACTAAGACTTTCGATGAGGCGACCGAGGCAGTCAAAATCTTCCTTCGTGCTAAGTCTGAGGGTGTTGAGCCTTCTTCCTTCTTGTACAATGCTCTCATTGGCAAACTAGGAAAGGCACGACGCATCGACGACTGCCTCTTCTATTTCTCAGAGATGCGCAACCTCGGCATCCGCCCTACTTCTGTTACCTACGGTACCATTGTCAACGCTCTTTGCCGTGTCAGTGACGAGAAGTTCGCTGAGGAATTGTTTGAAGAGATGGAGAGCATGCCCAACTACAAGCCCCGTCCTGCTCCTTACCACAGCATGATGCAGTTCTTCTTGACGACCAAGCGTGATCGCAGCAAGGTCCTCAGCTATTACGAGCGTATGCGTGCTAAGCGCATCGAGCCTACCACCCACACGTACAAGCTTCTCATCGATACCTACGCTACGCTTGAGCCTGTCGATATGGAGGCTGCAGAGAAGGTTCTTGAGCAAGTCAAGGCCGCTGGTGCCGTCCCAGAAGCTGTCCACTATTCCTCGTTGATACATGCCAAGGGTTGCGTTATGCATGACATGGAGGGTGCCCGTCGTCTTTTCGACACTGTCCTTGCCGACAGCCGTGTTCGTCCTCAGGCTTGCCTCTACCAAGCACTCTTCGAGGCCATGGTTGCCAACCATCAGATTGCTGATACTGAGGATGTTCTCCGCGACATGCGTGCTCGTGGCGTTGAGATGACTCCTTACATTGCCAACTCTCTCATCCATGGATGGGCTCTTGCTCACAATATAGAGAAGGCTAAGACCATCTACGAATCTGTCTCCGAGAGCAGGCGTGAGCCCAGCACTTACGAGGCCATGACCCGTGCTTACATGGCCGTCGAGGACCGCGCAGCTGCTATGACAGTTGTCAACGAGGGTCTGTCTCGTGGCTACCCTGCTGCCGTCGCTGGCAAGATCCTCGAGCTTGTTGGTGGTGGTCGTGCACCCGCCACTGAGGTCGCTGCTTGAGCGATCAACCTCAGCTTCTCTTCTATTCTCAGATTTACTGCCTTTTGGCATTTCGATCGTACACCTTTTTACTCGATTTACTGCGACGGCCGAACAAAAAGAATTCTCAAAACAGCCCCCGCGCCGCCTGCAGGGTAATACTTCCAGTGGCGTGGCTGGGCATCAATATTCTATCTCTAAAGTCGCTTCCACGTTTTTCAGCGACGGCGTTTTTATCCAGGGTCTCCTTTCTTCCAGCGAAACGAAACGATATCCCGCAATCAGCGATGAAGCTGGTAGGCTGGGTGGGTCTGGCGTCTGTGTAATGGCAGGTGGTTAGGCCTAGTTGGGCTGCCTGATCTGGAAGTTGGTTGGTTGGGATGTAGGGCGATCATCTCTCGTACTGCATCTCGTCATGGCATGGTGTTATCTCTGGTGGTCATTGCATCTGCGCGGTCGTTAAATATGGTTTCGCTGTACAATACCCTGGATTATACCATCTCCTCTCTAGACAAAGGCTCGGATTCTGGTGGGCGGCGCGGTATTTTAGTATCATTTAGGTAGATAAGTAGTCAGACGGAACGGTCACACGTTTGCGTTAGAAATGAAGCGAAGTGAAATTGTAATAATAGAGTTGTTCGGTCGCTCTGTGATTTATGGAATTCGTGAACGTGTATAAGCCCTCTCGAATGCGACGAGAGATTGTCTGGAAGCAGTATTACCTGTCCATAAGCATATTCTGTAACATTTGATAGAGGGATACACGAATGATTCTCAGCTCTGACAACCAAACACGGCACGTTGAAAGTAGAATCGATATAAAAGACATGATTCAGTGTCTGATCGGAGCGAATGCTCGAAAAAAATGCATGTTATGCTATTATCGCAGACTACTGCTAGGTAACAATAAAGTCTAAGCAAGGCTTACTCCCCAACGCCATGCTTATGCATGATGAACCACCTCATGGATGGTCATCAATGTCGTGAATCGTGAAAATGTGACGCGTGCTGGTATATACAAAGACCCTCCTCTCGCTTCTCGCCTATTATACGCTCCCTTTCCCCATTCAACTGCTCAGTTGTAGTTTCTCGTCTCAGTCGCTTGGTCAGCTTCTCGTGCTAGGCGGTTCTCGTTGGCGGCTTGCTGCAGAGTCTGGTTGTTCGTTTGGCGTTTCTGTGCATCGAGCTTCTTCTGGAGGTCGCCTGATGAAGCCTTGTTCGCGCGGGCCTGAGAGCTATGTCAGCGATTGTGGTCAAGAGTCGCGCGGCCCTTTCTTTGCTATTGCTCCGTCAGATGTGGAGGTTATAGATACGTACCTCTGCAGCAGCCGCAGCCGCAGCTTTCGGATCGTCTTGCCTGTTGCTATCTCCTAGCGTTCGTGGTGGTCCACCGACCTTTGGCTTTGGTGGTGCAACATTGTTCGGAATAGATGCTCTGGTCGCAGGCGCAGGCGCAGATTCAAGTGTGCGCCCATTGCCTGCGAAGTTGTCTTTTGACTGTTTGCCGCAGAGATTACCCATCTGTAGCTCTGGAGCTGAAGCTGTAGGAAGTTGGGACGAAGGAAGTTTGGTGACAACGGTTGTAGTGATAGCTACTGTGGCTGTGCGGAGGTAGGGTCCAAAGTGCAATGGAAGGTTGCGGACAAGACGTCAGCCTCGTGGCGGGGAAGGTGCATTGCGACGCGTGGGATTGGCGCCAAGTACCCGTCTCTCGGATACCGGCTACGGCATCTTCAGGCAGGGTGCAACTGTGCGTCAAACACTGCAGCTTTTTAGCTTCTCTGATATCTTCTCTACAATCCCGTCGCGTTTGTGACGGCTACATATGACGATGACTACAAACGTCAAGCACTCCGTAGGTGGGTACACTAGAGTGGTAGCGCAATGAGTTCTTCCGTATCCCGTGGAGGCTTCTTTGGCCGATCGCACACAACGACGCCGGTGTGTGAGTGGCCGCACGTACACCGATACAAGTCGGAATACTACCAGACATCAACAACAAGGCCTCGCAGTCATTCATAGCCTCGTTGTCTGTATCTGGGGGCGCCAGGATTCGGAACAAGGACGATACACATGACAGTCGTGACTTGGAGCGAAAGGCCAATCAGGGAGCAGGAGTTGGATATACGCTTTTACGCATTTGGTTAGGCTCCATTCACTCTTCTCAAGCGCATACCTTCACCTTCGCAGCCAGTTCGTTCCTTTCACTCGTGGTTGATGTTGTAGAGTTGTCAGGGTAGACCCCTCAAAGGCATGGTTGATTGTATGTTTTTCTTTTCACTCACCCCTCGCACATTACCTGGCATTCTGATTACGCCATCGTGCTTTCCCACGTCTGAGAACCGTGATGGCCTCCGCCTCGACTTTTCGATATCGTCAGGAACACACGCTCTGAAACTCCCAAAGCACGCAAAAATGGCTAATAACTGTGCAGATTGCGATCGCGATTCAGCTTTTGGAGACGACGACGACTTCTGGACTACAAATCCGATGTTTTCTTTGGACGCACCAGTGACTGGGACCAAGCGTGCTGCAGACAATCTGAAAGATGACGCCGCACGAACCCGGGGCCAATCAACCCCGTCTCAGCTTGAACATGGTACTCAACCCGTTGATCCAAGCTTGTGTTGCACTCGCTGCCCAGAAACATGCGACGTGCGCTCAACTAAGCGGAGGGCCTCCGCCCTAAAGGTGGCCGAGTATCACGAACTCACCACCGAATCACACACCGGTCTTGATGCGGATTGTTCTTTCCCAGATGACTGCTTCGAGAAATTCTGTCAGGAATGCAATCTGGAGCCATCCTGTCCACCAGCCCCTTGCCCTGACGACAACTGTCCCGATGGCTGCCCCGAAGACTGCCCCGAAGACGACGCTTGTTTCGACCCACGGTGTACTCAGAAAGATGAGCATTGTACAGACGACTGTATAGATCCCCAGTGTACAAAGGTCGCTTGTCCAGACCAGGTATGCTGCTGTCAGAAGTGCAACGCTCAACCCTTCGCTCTGCCTGGCACGCAGCACGAGTGTCACTTCGCTCATTCCGCCCCTACGTCCGTCGGTACTGTGTACTGTTACGACTCTGCGCCTTGCCATTTTCAAGAAGGCTTCCATGGACAAGATGATGGGTTATCTTCGTTTGAGACATATCCTTGCTTCTCCCAAACTCACGGGTACAATACCGTCGCGGATGACCTGACCACGATAGCGTCAAGCGCTCCAACACCAGCTTTGTCGCACAGCAATTACACTTCGCTAGAAAGTGCATTCACCACTGAGCCGTCACCGGGGCCTGGACAAACGATCTTCCCACCACACTGTTACCTCGACGTCGCCGGTGATCACTGTCACATCGATAACTCGTGTTGTCATGGATCTCAAAGAGCCTGTGGTGATGCCCCGTCTGCATCGCAACAACAGCTTGAGCTTTGGAACTCTTCAATAGCATCAGGCAACGGTTTGGCTTCAAATTTTATGAACTTTGGCTTCAATCCAAGCCTGCCAACGAGCCCTGTTTCGGCCGATCGCAACTCTCTACACTCGTCGAACCCGTTCAGCCTGAACTCTCCCATGATAGATTTTAACGACCAGACATTCCACGATCAGTCGTGGATGCTGACAGATTCGGCGTTCTCGAACACTTTTCAACCAGCAAGCTCATTCACTGGTGCAAACAAACTCGACTTCCTCGCTTCGGCGGTCCAGAGTGAGATCTTGCGGCCAAGCACATCGGATTTGACAGTTTCGAGCTCGGCTTCTGCTGCTAGAGCTCAAACTGAAGCTCAAACGTGTATATGTAAATGGTACGTCGGTCTGGAGCAACCCTTTACTGCCAAGATCATCTCAATCTATGAAGCCTTTGCGATTGCATGAGAACTGTAAGCTAATTGACACTTCTCAGGCAACATGCACCCGGTGTCCTCTGCCTCGCCGTCTTCGACGCCCCCGAAGCCCTTCACAGACATATCAAGACCGGACACGTAGACAACTGCACACACTGCTTCTGTCAATGGGAAGGTTGCGAAGCACACTCTAAAGATTTCAAGCAGCGCTCCAAGCTGTCTCGCCACCTTCTCGGTCACGCGGGTTATCGCCCATATGCTTGTAGCTATGAAGGATGCGAGAAGACGTTTGCCACCAACCAAGCGAAGGACAACCACGAGAGAACACACACAGGCGAGAGGCCATATGTATGTGACCGTTGCGGTTACACAACAACGACACATACACAACTACAAACACACATCAGTGCGCTACACGAGGGTAAGAAGCCGCATAAATGCCGGTTCTGCGAGTTTACATGCGCCGACTCGAGTAATTTGAGCAAGCATGAAAGGACACACCAAGTAAGCATAGGTTAACAACACTAGAACTACTTTTACTAACGATACCTACAGACGCTACGACCATACAGATGTCCCCACCCAAACTGCACATTCAAGCCCGACTGCCGCTGGGAGAACTTGAAGCGGCACTTGCGTCGTTCGAGCCACTGCCCGCAACTCCTGGTAGAAACCAGCGAAGAGTACAAGTCCTACCGCGAAGGTGTACGGCGTGAGATCGACGACTGGCATAAGCGAAACGAAGATGGTGGCCTAGGAAAGGCCGGTAGGAGGAAGGGCAGAGCGTAGATGACACCGAAAGTGAGACGTGGTGCCTTCGGGCAACTCTTTTGTGACGCGTTTATGAGAACGTTATGTTTGGATACGAATTTACGGATTGCCGACGAACACTCCCTTCAGGGTACTAGCATGAACAGCATCAGGATAAGCATGATACCAGTATATACAACAATTATTTGCCAACCATCATCTTGCTCAACTTCATGTTTGCCACAACGCTGCTCAAACATAGCGGCATAAGCATGCGCTATTAGTACTACCATACCGCTGGCAGCTACGTGGAGATTATACAACAGGCGTGGGCTAGTGCATCCTCGGAAATTTGGAAGCGAAGAAACGGTTTGGAACCGGGATGACGGGGATTTATGCTATAGGTGTATGCCTGGTATAGTGACAGCGATGCGTGTTTCAGGGCAGACAAATTCAGACAGAATACCGATATCTTGGATTTGAGAAAAGAAGGGGAAAGGGGTGGTGGCAGCGCTTGAGTATTTCAGGATGAATAGATCTGAGGAATAAGCCGAGCCATTAAGGACGATGAGTCATGAATGTTGATGTTCTAGTACTCTGGTGGCAGGTCGAACTGAACTGTGGAAGGATGCTTGCCATGATGAACACTGCACATAGCACTCACTACCTGGAGGACTAAAGTCATATGTTCCGTAGTTTCCATTGCCGTACCTAGTTATTCAAACGCAAGCAACCATCTCCACCAACTCCATCTCTCTCCTCACCATCCAAACAGCAAAGCCGCCATCAGACTCAACAAAACCCCCCTTCTACTCAACAGGCGGGATATCGTAGAAATGTAATCAAGATAGAGCGTTAACCTCTTTTCCTCGAGTAGCATGGAAGCAAGGTCATATACACAATATCGCTTCCATCGCTCTCTCGCTCGAAAACAGTCAACAAGAAAGAAAAGGCTGCGTCGCATGGGTAATGCGGCGGGGTATAGAACAGACAAAGTCAATCAGCCGGAGGTATGTCGGGGTCGTGTGTACCAGGGTGTGTGCGTGTGGCGTGATTACTGGGACGTCGAAGGGTATTTTGCGCGAGGTTGCGCAATCAGGCGGTGAAGGAGCGTATTAGACACTAGGCCCGAAGGCAGTCTATGGTTCGCGCAGATCGTGAAATAGCAGAAGGGTTCTAGAGGTCGTGACGTGTTGATGGTCCGAAGGGCTCGGTGGACGAGGACCCCTGGAGGGGTAGGGAGAACCGATCATCGGGGGACCCAAGAACCAAATTCGAAAAAACAAACAACGCGTAAAAAAACATCATCGTGGCGACATTACTATTTGTGGACGGATTCGGAGCTGATGAGGGTACTAGACCCTAGGGAGTGGACGTCTGGTGTGCTCGTGAGTAGTGGCCGTGTTACCGAAGAAGAAGGTGGTGCGGATGCGACACAACTCTTGCTCTTGCCGTACCGTATGTAAGGCGGTGGGCGATCTGAGGTAGGGGATGGCGAGGAAGCAACTAGGGAGCGTTAACAGACCAGGCCTTCAAGACATCTTAAGGGCTTGGAGGTATGCGGTCACCTCCACTCCCATGTCCGCCAGAGTCTGTGCTGTCGCCTTCGATGGTCTTCCTCCAGTGCTGTGGCAAGCACACGCAGACCAGAGGGAAAGCCTTGATCTCGTTGTCAGATTCAACGGGTGACCTTCGGCCTCCGTTGCTCACACCCGAGTCGCGTTGCTCGGCCTTTCGTGCCTCCCACTGCTCTGCCGTCTCGGAAAGTCTTACACCTGTCGCCCAACCATCATCCCATATACCGACAACCTTGAGCATATCTCCTCGTTCGAGTTCGAACTCGTCGCCGGCACGAGGTTGGTAGGCCCAGAGAGTGGCGACAGTATCGTTCGGATGGATATCATCCTGAGAGTAGTAGTCTTTGAAAAATTGCAACTGCTCAGACTGGCCAGAAGCGACACCATCTGGACTCGAAAAGTTACGCGTCTGGTCAGATCCAGAGAGTGGCGACGAGCTTGCTCCTAGAGCGGAGTGGCTCGATAAAGAACCTTGTCGTTTAGGGAGGTTACCAGCAAGATGGCCACGGATGGATTCGGGTGAATCATAGGGACCCAGTTGAGAGCCACCGTATGCAGTCATACGACCGCCTCGATCACTGGGGCCTGAGGATGACGATCCTTCCAAAGCCGACATACGTTGAACACGGGCGCCTGGGAGGATAGTAGCGGGCGTTTGACCGTCGCCCCCATAGCTCATGGGTGGAATAATGCCCGCCTTTGGTGATTGGTGTCGCGAAGGGGATGGCGTGTTGAAGACGCTACCAGCCTGGCTATTCTTTTGGTGCCGCCTTCGCATGCAGCAGAAGACAATAGCTGCAATGATTAGGGCGGCGCCGATGAGTGATCCTATAACGATGCCAGCAATGGCACCTCCAGAAAGACCAGAACCGGAATCGCGTCCTCCAGATCCAGCGCCTGCTGTGGAGCTTGGAGATCCAGATGAAGTGCTCGAGGGGAATACTGGAGGCATCGAAACGGTTGTGGGCAGATCGACGCCTACGCAGCGCGACTCGACGTTCGCATTGACGCAGCAAGAATCTGTGGAGTTAACGGTACTTGAGCCACAGAAGAGGCACAATCCCTGGAGGTTTCCTTGGTATCCACATTCGTCGGGCTCGTTTTTGGTTGCATCGATGCAGTTACTGCTGAGCGAGCTGGCAGGGTTGGAGCAGCGAGCGAAGTCGGAACGAATTTCCGGAACTGCATTGTTACCAGGTGTACCGCACAGGTCCGGGCTTGATACGATTACTTGTTCGCTGATAGCAAAATCGGCCTGCGTTTGTCAGTCTTACGATACGGTGTAATTTCGGGGAGATAGTCACGTACGCAAGCACCTGCGCAGAGCGGAGTTGCGTCCGTGTCGCTGAGTCCGCATGCAGTCCTAGAAGATTGGATGATGAGGTTACAGAGGACTGTTCTTGTGTAACGAGCATAGAGATTGGTGGTGCTAGTGAGGTTGACGCTTGAGCATCCCAATATGTCTTGGTACCTGAGGTGTGTTAGTCTACTGGTGGCATTGAGCAGTCGTGTGGCACGACTAGGACTAGACTAACTGTCGCTGCACGTATCCGGTGCCAATGTAGTTGACCAAACCTTCGTCGAACGACTGGGTGTCAGACACGTATTGGAGGAAAGGACTGTTTGCGACCACGATTAGTCACCACTCGATATATCCAGTCACGTTGGACGTACAAGTTGCCGGTCAAATTTGTATCGACAGATGCAGAACTGAAGGCCGGACAGGCTGTCGAGCCCCGGAGCGATACGCAACTTTGCTGGGCCATGGTTTGTGGTACAGAGGCAGCAGCAGCAACGACTGCAAAGACGAGAGCCCTTTTTGTGCCAGAACGTGATTGCTTTTGGGAACAGGAGGTGGTAGCGCGAGCATTGTCGCAGCACAGGCACGGGCGCATGCTGATGATATTGGTACGCGTAGAAGCTGTATGACTTGTCGATAATTCCAGTCCTAGGATGTGGCCGTGGTGGAGTAAAGTTGTCGATGATGACGGGCCAGTAGGAGACGCGCAGCTTCAAAAGTCCATTCGCGACATGTAGATCGGGCGTCGGGCGGTGTATATCTATGTAGTTGTCGTCGACGCAAGAGTATTAGAAAATAGAGACCGTATCGATTGCGTGCCGGTCTAAGAAAGGAAGGAGAGAGCCTGGCTCGCAGCGGCAGAAAGAGCGTACTGGGTAGGGAAGCTGCGATGGGTCTCTACAGTGGAGAGAGGAAGGCACGCGCTTGAGCGTTGGGGGATGGTCAACACGCACGAACAGCGAAGCTACCGTGTCGGCTAGCTCCTTCCTTGGGCGCCAGGGTCAGCTCTGCCTAGGCGTTGATTGGCCCGACCCTGCCGGCGGGAAATGAGCGCGAAGTCTGTACCTGGCCTAAAATTATCTCTCCGATGCTTTTCGTCTCAGGTTCCTGGCTGCGGATTACGACTCCAGCTGGTCGAGTGATGAGGGTTAACACTGTCGTGCTATACACCATCCTCATCATCGACCCACTGCATATCCACTGCATACCCACTGTGTGCAACGTGTCGACGGGAGCTCGCAGCTCTCCACCTGGGCCTTTTGCTGGCTTGCAGCACTGCGTATACGGTATAGCGTCTGACTGCATGCGCTAGCCCTCCTCATGTACTAGTCCGCTGTTTCAATATACAACCACTGCCTTCACCGCGCAACCGGTCCGCTTCGGCTGGCCTTGCTATGTTGCAGCGCATAACGTCGAGCTTGTGCCTGAGACCGTCCCACCTCAGTACTACCATCGCTTCGTCCATGCGACGTGGTTATGCGCGTTTTGAACCGCGCATGGAGCTTGCAGATCCTCCAGCCTCGTCCTTAGCGTCTTCCGTGCTTCTGTTTACTGCACTTCTTCTGCGCAACGCCCGTTGACCCTCGGCCCTATCCTTCTCCAGACTAGCTAGCGGCCCGCTCCCCTTCCTGAACCATTGTTTGTGAGCAACGAGCCTGCGACGATCTCTGCCCCGATCTGCATCCACATCCTGTTCAATCCTTAGTACCCAGCCCACCATGTGGAGAAGCACGTTGCATCTCGTGGTTTTCCATCGGCACCAACATTGAGGGCTGACTTTTACTCTGAACATGCCATTCCTGGAGTCGTACAACAGGCCGTAAGTATTTCCAAACTACATCCGTTCCTCTGCCTTGGCCTTCGACTGAGACTCTGTCTTCGTTGTTTATTACATTTCATTCCTCAAAGACCTATGTGGGTATACACTTCTAGAGTCCAGGCCTTCAGTCATCTCTCCATCACCACCCAATCCGTCATCATGTCATTCTACATGGTTTCCTTGTTCTCAACTGCGATTTGTAATACTCTGCGGCGTCATGGTATCCAGAACTCTCAGGCTCGGGGCATCTGACGTTGCCTGTTTGAACTACAGGCCTTGCTGGGATGTGGTCAATGCGATTCAGGCAAACTCAACTGCCGGAGCTCAGTCTATACAAAACCGTCCTACTCGATCACCTACGCGTCGCCAACCCTGCGTAGTCAGGTACTACATCAACGTCTACCTGGGTATGACCTACCCATGCTGTAAGAGTGAAACGCCATGAACTTCTATCGTGATACGCCAAAGCATGCGAGCTACTACGTCACCTAGAAATAACCTTGGCATCGTGGAAATCTTTGCAGAAGGCGCCTCTAGCAAACTTTTTGCTATTGAATGCACCGAGTGCCTCGTTATCTTCCGCGTTAGCCTGCCGGTCGCACCAGCCGTTAGGATCACCAGTGAAGTCGCCACTTAGGCATCCGTTCGGGACAAAACTGAAGTCCTAGTACCGCGAATCGTCGCACACGATGCATATCCCTCGAATGGGCTGGAGTTTGAGTGGACTCTGATGGAATGGGCGGATGCACACCATTACACGAAACCTAGCATGGATTGTCATGATGGAGAAGGGCTTACTAATTCAGGAGGATGTAGGATACATGTTACAATCCTTCAATACCGAGCTTTCAGACATTGCAGTCTGACGCTCGTCAACAAGTCTCACCCCTATGCTGATTTACACTCCATATATACTGTGGGCGAGATCGTTCAACTTGCGTTCTTCAAAAAAGACGACATTTTCTTAGTCATGAGTACCTCTCCGCTCGTCACCAAATCCTCAAGCACTTCGTACACAATCTCGATCAGGAGGACGATGACGGCACAGAGCATCACTGCGACCTTCAAGCCGTATACTTCAGCCTAGAAACTGTAACTCTGTGGCTCTTTTCAGACGATAGCATTTCAGCAGAACACACGACTCTTTGTAAATGCGACATGAGCATCTCAAACATACTAGTCGTTACTAGAGGTAGTCTGGTCTCAATAGCAGGCTAGGAACGCGTAACCACGCTTCCTACCTACACCGCTATCAAGCTACCCCAGTTTCTCGGAGAATTTGTCCGCGCCGCTCCTGCTGAAAACACCACCAACACCACCTCGGAAGTATACAAAACAGAAATGAAACACTACTGTGCGACGTGCCTAAAGGAATACCTCTCAGATGAGATAACTCGGGTTTGTTCTACTTGATCTAGCATCTTTGAGACAGAAAGGATTAGGCCCGATGTATCAATCTAGCTGGATAAGTGTGAGAATGATATGACAGCCAAGTGGGTGAGGGTCTGGCTAGATGCCGCTAATGGGGGAGAGAGCCGAAGTTTGCTTTGAAAGATGCGTGTCGGAAACCGCTGATGTTGCATAGGTGGTTGTATGAGGACACTGTAAGCCTAGATTGGGAATGGATGAGTAGAGTAGCCGAGATTTTCCGGTTTCTCGGATATCTCAGAGTGTTTTTGAAGTCTATTGCAGTGTAAGCTCTAGCCTATGCCTTATAGTACCATGTCCAAAACAAGATTGGGTATCATTCAACGCCATGTCCTCATCTCCACACCCCTCATTCTTCGCCGCGTCTTCATTTCTGACATATGACACGCTTCATCAATCCAGCGGCCACGCAAGGACATGTCCTAGAAGAATTTGACACCTTCTCCCTCACCTCCAGACCCAAAAACCTGCGCCTTCCCCCTCTTCACGCAAACCCCCAAACTCTTTTGCAACAGGTCCATATCCATTCCATAAAACTCTTCCCTACGGCTCGCGTCCCCTTCGACAATCTCATACAACGTGAGCACCGTACCCTTTTGTCCCGTCCTCTCCACCCATTCCTCCAACGCCGCAGCCCACTCCTCAGGCCTCCGCCAATATATCCACGCCGTGCCTCCTTCACCCTCTTCTCCCGGCTTTATCCCCTTCTTAGACGAGCTTGTACTTATGAATTCAGCGCGATTTCCGCCTTCGGGTGAGGCCATGTATGTGAGGATGGCTTTTGCATCGCGGAGGGAGAGGCTCCTGCGAAGGGTCGCGTTTGTGAAGAGAGGGGTTAGGAGCGCGTCGATGAGGGTGATGGTAAATATGCGGTTGTGGCGGCAGTAGGACTGGATGAGGATAGACCAGGAAGCCAGTTGTGAGGAGCGTGTGCTGGCAACGGGCTGGAGGGTGAAGAAGGGTGGGAAGGAGTATTGAGGTGGGAACACAAAGCTCGGGTTCGTGAGGGTGGTTGTTGAGGAGGGTGTTGGTGTGAACGTTGAGGCAGGATAGGGGGATGTTGCAGCCATGTTTCAATATGGTGGTATTGTTAAACTTGCATAGGATGCGAGAATGTAGGCTTGTGTTGCGTTGCGCGTGTGGAACATTCATAGTTGGGAACGCGTTGATGGAGATCTGCGGGGACTTTGCGACGTCATTGGTTGCTTGGCTTGGGCACCAAGGCCTTGTGTCTTCAACTCACTCGGACAAATCCCAATGCAATGCTATATAGGATATGCCCTCCCAAGCACTCCGTCTTGAACAAGCCATCTAGAAAAATCATGTCGAACTTTGTGCCCTTGCATAATTTGATCGTAGGTTGAGAATGGTGCATATCTCCATCAAAGTCGAGTAATGATTTGATCACACTTTATGGAAAGGAACCAGCGTAGCGGAGTGTGATGACAGTACTCAATAGTACCATTGGTAGCGCAGTATGACACAGTCTTGGGATCAAATAAGGAATACTATCATGGATACCATTATTCGTGAAGCTCAAACATATACAACTTGTTGTCCCAAACAGTCCAACGGTGAGTGCGAGGCCAACAGATGCCCGAGTCAGTCCTATACATTTCAACATACCCAGGCGCCATGACCGTATTGTAAAAAGGAGTCGAAATATTGACCAAGGTCCGAATCCAATCTCTTTGTAGATACATGCTCTGCAGTCCATTCTACACCATCTTTACCGCCACCCCCTTCTCTTCTGCTGCTGTTGCGCACTCGCTTTCATCCTGATTTGGTCCTCCTTCTGCTGTTGGAATCCCTTGACCTCTTGACTGTACATCTCATACTGTCCCAGCCAGTACTCGACCAAGCCTTGCACATCTTCCACAAAGCCCTCAGGCCCCCTGTTGTATACCCAGAAGCCCACGACGAGTATCCCGCCCCAGAAAACCAGGCGCAAAGCCAGGTTTACCCAGAAGATGACGGCTCGGTACATCATGTCCAGGATCTTGAGGGAGATGAAGAATATGGCGAGCAGGGCGAGGATGGAGGCGACATCGGGCTGTGTGATGAGTTTGTTGAGGAGAGGCGAGAGGTGCGTGGTCAGGGTGCGCGAGATGCCGAAGAAGGTTGTGAGGAGTTGGAGGAGGGGGCTTGCAAACGAGGGTGGGAGGAAGCGCGGGATAAGCGCTGCGTAATCTGGCAGTACATGTTAGCATAGTGCAATGCGACGCGAGAAGATGACAACAAGGATATCGTCGAGGCTTACCTTGTATAAAGTCCATTCTGGGCAGTTTGCGACTGGACGTGCAGGTGTCGTGTGCCAGACGCGATGGACGCGTTGTGGGGTGCAAAAGGCGAGTTCGCGCTTGCGACGGATCTGCGCGCGGGTAGCGGACGACTGGAGCGACGCGTGGTAGATGGGAAAGACGAGCACGCGATGGGCTTGTTGTCGGGTGGCTAATATTTTTGCCTGTTTGCACACGGTTGCGGTGACAGCTGTTCACGTTGACCCACTAAAACGCTTTTACACAAGCCATGCAGCTCAAACACACCTAATCCTGGCTGCATGTCATCCGCTCGGCTCGCTAGCTTAGTCACCCACCTCCTCCCACCAGAATCCACTCATGATGCGCAAAAGTAACATACACCGACGATCATACTCCACCACCCTGCGTCTTGCATTTCAGCCCCATCTGCACCACCACTGCGCGACATGTCGCGGGGTACACCCGGTCTGATGATGCGGTCAACTTCTTGTGCGCGGGAAGCGCCATCGTGTATGAATCGCGTCCCGTCGCTTTTCGATAGCTTATGTGGAGTCGAGTGGAGATCGCGGCAGAGCAGAGTTTCAGATCTAAGTATTGCAAATTCTGGGGTCTTGGAACTGGCGGTGTAGACCACGTTTTTTTTTCGTCTTCCATGCACCACTCGTGCCGTCGGGGAAAACGGTCGTTGCCGAGATGCCGCTTGGACTGATGTCGTGATCCGTGGTGCCTTGCAGGGCGGATTGCGCAATCAAGGAACATCACTGCAGTACTGGTAAATGGTCAGGTGGTAATGTGTTCATTCTTTCTTCTGGGCAGAAAGGACTAGCCTCTCGCAGTGCTACAACTGCATACCCAGGTACATGTTTGGCTATCTACTAGGTCCCTTCCTGTGCCATCTTCGGCATCGACTTGCTGCATCCTCCAACAGAAAGAAACAAAGAGGCTCAAGGCCTGTGTAGTGACACAAAGGTCTGGTATCATATATGCAGTGCGCCGCCAAACGCCAAAACCCAAAAGACAGAATCATGTCCAATCGTAAAGTATGTATGCGAAGCGAAGGTCGTAAAAGCGAAGTGTTGACTGGTACCGCAACAGTCTCGATGAGTGTACAACAGAAAGCGGTGCGTTGTGACACAGACAGATGTCAGCCATGCATCACTCACTTTGAGTGCATTAGGCAGGCTGCCGGCGGTATATATGACCACTTCGAGTGGACGTGTTTGGAGGTTGAATATGATTTGATGAGTTGAGTGATATCGAGTGACACTGGTATTCAAATCCAGCGTCCATCACCTTTCTGTTGAGTGCCGTACTCTGATTCGAAGTTGAATCGGAAAGCAGATGTTTCATCGACGGATGGATAATGTATTAAAGGTTGAGACCGATGTGAAGATGTGGAGCCCCGGTTGAACTCGCCGCTTGGTGAACATGGTGAGTACGGCGTTGGAGGTCGGTCTGCGATAGAAGAGGCTACACTAGACTTCCTTCGTGCACGCTCTGGCTTTCGTATTGAACTGGTGGGTGACTTTAGTGAAGCCATGTCGGTTAATGACGGTGTTCGTGGAGGGAACTCGTATGTGCTGAGCTCTTTCTCGAACATGGTAGTGACCCTGGGAGATACATGTTCCCGTAAGACAGCTGGTCTGATGCCGTACTTCTCCGGTCGTTGGGTATATTGGCTAGGTCGTCTCCAGGATTCAAACTCGGCATCGTCCAGTGGTGTGACTGCTCGCAGGGAGAAGCCTCGCATCCTTCTTTGAGATCTCTTCCAACAGAAGAGAACGGCAACGGCAACGGCCATCAGAACGAGAGTGCCTGCCACGGCCCCGAGAATGATCCAGACTTTTGTTTCTTGCTCCATGATTGCGATGGCGGTGTGTATGTCAAGTGTAAATGCTGAACGGGAGTGTTGGTGATAAGTGCTCAAAGACTACTGCGATCGTCGTTGTCGCTATTTTGAGCAGACCCTGATGGTGTATTGGAAGGAAGATCCAAAAGGAATATACGAGAGAGTGACGTTAATCAGATAACAACCATGCTGGCTGTGGCTGCGGTTGATGCGGCTACTCCAGAAAGGTGGCGGTCGACGAAACGATGGTAGTTATCTTGAGCCCACTCCTGTCTGATATGAACCTTGGAGGGTGATGCGGATAAAGTAGTGCGGGAAGCAAAGAGCGGAGACCTGGGTCATGTGTCTACCCTCGCTCCACAGCACCGTAGTAGGGAATGATGGTATGCACCTAGCGCCACAAAACGAGGCAGCACAAAGAACGGTCCTTCGGTAGAGAGCAACGATGGCGCACCGAGTGAGAGGAGTGTTGCGGGTTATAGAGACCGGACAAGCTTGGCTTGAGGCGACATGCAGGTACAATAGCGTACCTGATGGTGGGTTGCGAAGTTTGTTAGTACGGCAGACTCATGGAAATATCGGTGAGCAGTGCACTAAGAGTAATCCATGATGGGCTAATTTCGACGACCTTGGAACGACACCCCGCCGTTGGCGATGGCGCAAGTACCGGGATAGGCAATTCCACCGTGCCTGCAGCAGGGGCCTGACACTCCCGTCCAGTATATGCCATTCCAGAGCCGTGAAGCGGGCAACGTGGCGTCGTCAAGGTCAGCACGATGTTGGTATTTGACAGCACACCATGATCTCACAACGAATCCAGGGGCAGAAGTCACTTCAGCCTCAGCAACTTGACACCAAGGGCTTGATAGCGAATGCAACAGCGCACCCGTTCGTGCGTGCCCCTCAGCTCTACCCCGGGAGGGAGCCTTTTCTTTTTCGAAATTCTCCTTGCATCGCTAGAGGGCGGAGTACGAGTGAGACAAGCAAACGCTCAGTTTGCCTGAAGGGGCGTGTGTCGGTCGGAAACTTCGCTTGGAGCAAGCAGGGGCACTGACACGACGTCGATCTATCAAACCCCACCAACTGTAATTAGCATCGCTCCCTTCCAGGCACTGGCCAATCCCGTGTCGGGCTTTAGGTGCGTCCCGCGATAGCTTCCTTTCAAGGTTCTTTATCTTAGCCCTCGACGGAGCGCATCCAGATTCTGATGGTGTGCGTTCCCAAGCCCATAGCAGCTGTAGCTCGTCACCACCTCGACTCGCTCCTGCACGAAACAAGTTTCGATGCCGACATCTGGAGCGTTCGCGATATTGAAAACTACTGGTCGACACAACCAACTGGGTTATAGGCTAGAAGCCGAGCGTTCCTGACTATCGCACGACCCTGGCACCGACGGCCTTTGTGCAGCAAAACCGGGCATTATAGCGCAAACGCACCGACATGTTCCTTGGCAAGAACGGTTGCTTGGTCGCCAGCGTGCCAGGTCATTCACTGTTAATCATCTCCGATGCTTCATCGCGGGGCCATTTCGATGACCGCCAATAGCGCTTGAGGGCCTTCACCGGACTTTCTTGAAACACATCAAATCTGGTTGAATCTGGTCGAACAACGAGTTCAACGCCCCCATGCACATTCGTTACAATGACATGAGAGCCGTCGACTGAGGCTTGCAGTTTGCTCCGCTATTATAATGTGACTAGTCGTAGTGGACTGGTAGTGCCATGATGGTGCATCATCTGGACTCATCAGAGCGATCAAAGCCTATACCACTAGCGGCATACGTCGAAAACTCTCCGAATCATATTTTGCGTTTGAGAGTCGTCACTGTAGCCGTCCCCGATGCTCGCAGAACCATTCCAAGTGCGACAGCTAGAAGGATCGTACTGTCAAGGGACCTGTCTGAGGACCACATTTCTAATTCTGCAGAATCCAAGTACTGTGTCTCAATTTTCTTGTGCTAGACTTCTTACAAAGACTTCCCACGCCGAAGAAAGGCTCGGCTCCTGAACCCGTGGTCATCATGATCTTCGCGCCCATCCTGCAACCGAAATGAGACTTTCATTACAAGCCACGACCAAAGAGGCATCATCCGCAACCCATATGTATCTCGTCGCTTAACCCGCTACCTATCTTTATAGCAAACTCAAGGGTCATCCTTCTTTGTTGAAGCCTGCGGCAAGATCACAAGCAAGGTTGTATGTCCAGAACTCTTCAATGTCACTTGGGCCAAGGGTACCCAGGTCCCGAGTTTGTGAGCGCGCGGCTTTACCGCCATGCCGTGCAAGACGGTAGGTACCTGCAGCTGGAACATAGCGCCTGGCGCTGTCGTTCTGCCGGCTAAACTGCGCAACTTGCACGTGGGTTATCACTATCAGTCAAGCGTGCGACGCCAGGACCACGAACCGACGGTGGTGTAGTGGCCCAGAGGAAGCACACATAGCGGCGGACACTTTGTTCGGCTGCCTGTGCGAGGAATTGGACCATATCTTTGGTACTACTTGTGATGGCTGCGTAAGATGCGCGATGTGTCGCAGATGTCGTATTGCTTTTTCGATATCTCCTGATCTACAGCGGGGAGAGAATGCTTGTGTCTGTCTCGCTGTCATTGGCGCGACCAAAGCAGAAGGTGTCAAGACCGCAGCTTGCATCTAACATTTCATGCTGCCACCAATGAGGGTTTAGATATGGCATATCCACAGCAAAGCTCAGCCGCAACCTCAATACCACCATCGTGAACTCCTGAATACGGTATGAAAACGACGGCGCATTCCCTACGCTGTCCTTGATTTTGGCACCGAAGTGCACCCGTCATGACCTGGAAGAAGCGAGTCATTGAGATGAAGATGCACGCAAAACCTCTCGAACGAGAAGAACGCCCGACACCACATCAGCCTCATCACACACCGCACAGCCTCTCCACTCAAGCAAGATGATCAGAATAAAATCTCTCCTTGAAGCGGCCTCGGAACCGGTGGCATCCGAATGGTCATGTCGCCTCAGCAAGGTCTTCGCGGGCTACGGGGTCTCATACCTGTCTTCCAATGATCATATAGGGTTGCGTGGGGCATCAGGTGGGTATTGATCCCGACACTCTATAACAGACACACTATTGCCCATGGTATCTCACGGCGAATGTGCTTAACGACGAAAAATTCCCTATGCCCAT